TTCCATTTAGAATCTGTAATACAACGAATTGTGTCCCGGACAAAGAAAGCAGCTGCACATGCCTTACTTGGATCTCCGTAACATTAATCATGTTTGGAACATCAGTCGCTTTGTCAATATTTTATTATTGTGTACCGCGACTAATAAGACATATGAAAACAGGTATTTATATACTTATTGATTTTTAGGTAAGATCTAGGAAATATTTGTTCTTTAATGCTACCAAGCTCGAGAATTTTTCACTCATATTTAGACCCCCCCCCCCCCCCCCACATGTACCCTTTGCCGGAGGAGTGTTGCAAATATCGATTTCCATGCACTCAGCACTTTCTGCAACATGAGACCTCGGTTTATACGGTCTCATCCGAAAGGCAGGTCTCCACGTCCTACAATTGGATTCGAACCTGCCACGTTAGGATCAACTCCTTACTCTGTGACTCTATGAAGCAAACGTTCAAACCACTGCTCTTTGCGGGTGATCTGGTATTTTGTGCATATAGTTCTATATTTTTCGTTTAAAAGTTGCGCTTCTTTTATGATGTTGATTAAAAATTGCTATTGTTAAAATATCCCTAATATTTTACTTCATGTAGAGTCAAAGCCCTCACTGTTAGAACAACTTAAGGAAGCATGCCGAGATGGCGATGTGGACAAGTACTTTACATTAAAAGAGCGGGACAACAGTCTGTTATCTGCATATGTTGATAAGAATGGATGGAGTTTACTACATCATGCAGCGTATGGAGGAAGTGAAATAATTTTTAAAGATTTGCTTGAACAAAAAGATTTTGATATACATAAAAAAACAAAGTCTTCAAAAACTGTTTTACATATAGCTGCAAAAGAAGGCAGAAAAGAAATATGCAGACTAATCATCGATAATACAGAATATGAAAATCTTCTTGATATGAAAAACGATAAAGATATGAATGCAGGGCATATTGCAGCCAGATATGGACAAACTGATATCATAGAAATGTTGATGAAAACAAGATGTGACTTGCTGGAAAAGGTTGGACCCCTTCTCGAAAACATTGCTATATTCGCATGCAAAGGCAGAAGTCTAGAAACGATGACATTTATAGGCAGCCATCAAAATCTAAAAGTTGCCTTGCATGAGAAAAATTATCAGGGCTGGAACGTTGCACACTATGCAGCAAAAAGTGGGAATTGCGAGATTCTGGAGTATTTAATCGCGGAGGAAGGAGTTGACTGTATAAATGAATCAACGGATGAAAAGAAAAACTGTCTTCATACTGCATGTGAAAATGGTCATTATGAAGCCTGCAAGTGTTTGATTAAAAATAATTCTGGTTTATTACATTTAAGAGATATCAATAGAAACCATGCCGGACATTACGCTGCAAAGAATGGAAATATCACGATAATAAAGTATTTAAAGGATCAAGGACTTGATTTAGAATTAACAAATAAGGAAAATGTGAATATACTGCATATATCCTGCTTGCATGCACACTTGGAACTGTTTAAGTATTTAGCAAAAGAATTCCCAAGACTTTTAAATCAGAAAAGTAACAAATCTAAGAATGCAGTTTTATTCGTCATGCAGCGGAAAGACGATGAAGATAAACGTATAAAAATTCTGTCTTACCTAGTTAATAGAGGACTTGATGTTTATCACGTACCTGCTTCTGGTAAATCGGCATTGTACCTGGCCTGCAAGAACAGGGCATATTCTCTCTGTGAACATTTGTTGAAAAACTACCCCAAATTTTATGATATTGATGAGGGAGACTTGACCGCTATAGAAGCAGCTGACAATGATAGCAGAATAAAAGTATTATTCAGCAAATACGATCCGAAACACAAAACCTCATCAAGATACGTGGAGAAAATTTGCATAATATTGTAAACATTGATTTTCATTTTTTATCTTCAGTGCAATATTTAAATTAATTAATTAATGGGGCTGACCAAAAAGCGTTATGATCCCAAGAAATATTGATGCTGTGAATACAATGATAACAGAAGATGCAAGATACACAGTGGAAAATATTTCAAGGTCCCTCCAGGTTTCAACGGGAACAGTTCACAAAATTATAACAAAAAAACTTAATCTTGGGAAAGTTTCAGCCAGGTGGTTGCCTCATTTTGCCTCCAGATTGGCCATTGGCAGTGCCATCTATCTACCTTTTAGGTATATATGTACATAAAGACGATTATGCTGAGTTCTCCTGGTCTTGGATAAAGAGAATTGAAAGATGTAATAAAGTAAATGGGGGATATTTTGAAGGATTTTTGTAATAAATTATTGGAATTTAATTAAGGTTGTTTCATATTTTAGTGTATCCAGTTGCATTACATAATGAATGACCCTCGTACACTATAGAGAGAATGATTTTGTTTGTTACAGTCCGTAATTGAGTCTAGTTCACGTTCTTTCTGGTGAAGTCAGTACGTTTATTAATACTACTAGGCGGAATCATTGCAATTTATGCATCCAGAACTTTTCTTTGCTTTTTCTCTGAGTGTCTGTCCATCTTGGGTTATGGTCAATCACCACTACTGTCATGTCCTCCCATTTGTGACCCTCAAGGTTGAAATGTTCCCCAACGGGTTCATTGAGTTTTTTGGTCCTAATGGTCGAACGGTGGTTATTGACTCTCCTGCGGAGATCTGTTTCATCAATATACTGTTTGGAGCAAACTTTTCAACTGATGAGATAAATGCAGTTGTCTGTATGACAGGACAACTTCCTTAGAATTTTGTAGCTGTGGCCTTTAATGGGGCTTTAATCCTTGACTAGCATATCAGAGCTTGGCAGATACCAAAGCCTATGGCAAAATGTGAGATAATTTCCCCATTCAACTGCAAAACACTACATTTATAAAATAAAAAACAATGTGTTATGTGACAGTTTATTTTTTTTTAATATTCAAATTTCAAAAAACAATATTAATGGATTCACAAAACATTTTATAACACACATGTTCTCATAACCAGGCATATACTCATCCATACAAATTCCTAAGTATTTTGAAAAAATAAGACATCTCATGTATTTCAGTCATTCTTCACATAAACCAAAAAAAAGAATCATTTTACACATTACCCATTGTACAACAAGAAATAAAAATTGTAAACAAGAAATCAATTTACTTCAGAAAACTTTGAAATGTAGCAATTAAGGTCCCATTTTATTTAAGAACTTACAACTATGATCAAAAGGTAATTTTGCACAGATTTTTTTTTATGTTAGTTTGAAAATGGTTTTAACTTTTAACAAGTTATCAATAATTTCTCAAGATTTTAAAATCAACTAAAGTTTTTGGTCTCAATCATAAATTTTGTTGTAAATCAAAGACCTGGTTTCTGTTGGCAATTAAACTATCAATTTCAAAAGTTGTTCTTTTCAGTAATTTTTAATATAATTCATCAACGATCAAATTTCTAAGATCAAACTTTTACTGCCTAAAAATTCAGTAAAAAAAAGCTTACAAAGCTTCAAAAACACATTTTGGCCTTCCATACTAATATCAAAAACAACAGCAGCCCATCATTATTGAAGGTAAATTATTGAGATCATGTTCTCTCTTGCTGCGACTGTCACCATATTTTTATGAGTGACATTTTAAAACCTAAGATAGATATCCTTAAGAATGAAATGGCAGTTTCTGGCTGATCAATTAAAAATAAATTTCTTAAAATCAATTTTATGGTATATTATGTACTTAAATCTAATTATTTGAAATAATGTTTAGGTACTAAAAACACCCCATTATTGTGAATACAAATTACAATAACTTTATCTACATTAAATTCTTTATTATCATTTATAAGATTTTGAAATATTTTTTTGGTTTTAGATTTCTGTTAATATGGAAACTTTAACAATGTGAAAACTTAAATAAAGGTCAATTAAAGTTCCACTTTTCAATTTGGCTTTCTTTTCAAAGATCAGTAACGTACAGAAATTATCAAACTTTCTCAACCCATAGATATAACTGAATTCAAAGTGTCATTTTGCTGATGGAAGTATTTCCTAAATAGATAATGACTATTGAATATACACCAAGATATCTGCTTCAATTAAAAATGTTACACAACTTTCTTTAAGGACATATTGCTAAATCTAATTAATTTTCATCAATTTTTCTTCACCTGATTTCAATATGATTGTTTCACAAGGCATTTCAATGAGTTTCCTCTAAGCATATAAAATACAAGGTACTCAAATCTGGTGAGTTGGACTATTTACAGTTATATAAATAAGTTGTATGTACAAATTTACAAACCATATAAAATTCTACCATATTTACATACCTCCCCCCTTTTTTCTGGGGGAGGGGGGTGTCAATTCAACCTCTGGCACCTGGAAGTTTTCAAAAAAAAAAAAAAAAACACTTTTATACGATTATTAAAAAGACAACAGAAAAAAGCAGCATGTGTAGAATTTGATTCCACAAAGTTACCTGATGTTAAATTCGAAAAGATGATAATAAATATTTTACAAGATACACTAATCACATATGTTATCAAGAACCCTATAGGAGTTATAATTAACTAGACAGTGTACATATAGCATCTTAAAACAAAATTCACAGCACCATTTAATGAGAAAAAAACTGTGCTAGCTAGAAAAAGTTTGGGTTTTTTTTACTACAAGATATTTGTATTTTTCAAATCAAAATCAACATAGTAGAAAAATGTTGGATTTGTAGAAAAAAAAATTTCAAAACATGACCAAAAGTTATTTTTATAAAGCATAAATTAACATTAATATGCAATATATCCATCTAAAATGTTTTTACATGCATTTCCTTTGATTTAAAAAAAAAAAAAGAGCAAAAAGGTTCACTAACTGATCAATGTGTTCATATGTATATATGAATATGGTCTACAATAATTACATCACAAATACAAGAAATACAGGTAATATATACACAAAATAAAGGAAGCTAAAGTCGCTTCAACTTGTGCGTACATTGTTCATATAAAAACAATAAATACCCAGGGAAAATGCTAAATGTATTAAAGCTTTTTTTTTCTAATATATCATTAAGATGCTACAGGTCTACAACAAAAGACATCTAAAAAAAATTAAACCGGTATAACATACATTTAGGTGAATAAATTACTACATTTGTATATGATTATGACCCTTTTTTAAATTATCAAAAATACATGTCACAAAAAAAAATCTCCCTACATATAAAAACATTAAACCCAAGACATCACAAACTCACAAATTGAAAATGCTTAATCGATTGTCAATTTACCATGTCTTTAAACATATTTTGTGTCGTTAGATTTGGCAAAACAATTAAATACACATAAAATTTTTTAACTTATAATCTGTTTGGAAAAAATAAACACGAGAAATGCCCAAATTTGTTCATTAAAACCAATACTCTCTAACTCTCAAATTCTCAGTATAAGGTTTACATATACACAAAAATGGATTGAATACAAGGGAGGTAATTTTAATAAATTGGCAGTGAGAATGCATATGCATGTTTGAAAATAAAGTTACATGTATTTTGATTATCCATGGAGACGAAGATGAACTACATGTAAACACATAATTACCTTCAGCTGTAAATCTTTAAACACTAGAATATTAGGTTTAAAAATTTTCTCAAACATTTGGCCAATATTCATTTTTAAAAATAATACTTTACTTTCCCACAAAATATATCCAGCTACAAAGTAGAAATGACAGAAAATCAAATACCTTTAAAATTGACCATATTGTTTTTATATTTAATACAAATTCCTTTGTAAAAATACAAAATTAATGCAGGCATATTTATAAATCGAATATATATCCCCTGATTGTTCAAAAAATTGAGTTAAGATGATATTAACATGAAGTTTCTGTACACATACATTGTTTTAAACAGGATTCAGGGCCATTCCAAGTTTTTTCTATGTTTAGCGTCCGCGTGCGCCTTGGTTTTTGACACCCCATATAAGAAAAAACACACAACATCAGGAGTCCTGAAATTGATTAATTTAGTCGAAATTTTTGAATTTTGTCAATTTCTCTAAATAATTCAATACAGTAAGTTATATTGGGTGTATTTTAAGCATTTAATCCCTTGTTTTTGCATAAGAATAGATATTTCTTCTATTAGAGCAGTTTTATTAGATCAAATCATTTGAAGGGCGTCATTTTTACGTATTTTAAGCCTGTGTTTTATGTTTTGGCTTGTGTTTTTTGCGAATAGGTAGGTAGGTTTTTGAAAGATGGGTGGACGCTAAACAGAGAAAAAACCTGGAATGGCCTTAATTCACAGTTGCCAATTTTCCACCCAAATTTGTAACATTATTTTGAAAGTGCGTTTTAGACACACACCTGTACTATAAAATCTGGGTAATTTTCTAGTTGCAGATTGAACAGAAATTGAGATTCCATGGAATTATGATTCCCAGGAAAAAATTACGTTTATATAAAATATGTTTATTTTCTAGCTATATGTTCCTTTAAAAGTGTCAAAAATATTGTGTCACTTCATGAACTTTCTTCAAATATACGTGTATACTTAAAAAGTAGGACTTTGATCATGTGTTCAGCACTATATACATTTGTACAGAAAACAAAATTTAACACTTCTTATAACTTAGAAATAAATATTGCACTTGTACACTACATTCTTATATAAAAAGTAAAATATACAATATAATGTAGTTTTTCTTTAGTTTAGGATAAACATGATATGATGAAAACAATCTCGTAAAACATTAAAAACTGGCCTTTTACATATATGTGATACCCACATATTTTTTTCTCATCATAAAAGATCAAGTTATGTCTTGTCGTAGGACATTACCCTGTAAATCTGTATTTGTGACTGTTAAATGTTCTTGTTGTAGCTATGTTATAGTCACAAATGTTTCTTTTCTAAATTTAAAAGAGGGGAGTTCCGTCAATGAAGCTACAGCGTTGGAACTCTTCACCAGTGCTTATACTTATCTAACATATAACTCTAAGCAAAAACTTTAACATCAGTATAGACTCCACATTTCATTTTCTGAGAAGACAAGATGTATATGTGATTGTGAGTTACATGCATGATATACAATATCAGTTATGAATAATGCATGGTAAGGAATAAATGGGTTTCTCATACACAGAAGTTAAATATCAGTTCACTTGGAGATCAGAATTTCCCGTGGTACAGCTTTGAGGTCCTCTGTCAACCAACACTCTGGAGAAGAGGGGATTACTAAGGCTTATAACACCTCTGTTTCTCGACCTTCGACCTTTGACCTCAATGCATCTCACCCTGTGTTCCCTTGAGGATGTCCTTGACAACCTGAATACAACTGAGACTTCTCGAGACATTTGTAAGTATCCAAGGACGGAATAGTGAGTCAGGTGCAAGAACTCGGCAAGATTTATTTTATTTGATATACCAGGTACCTATAAAATGAGAAAGTACCGTGTAATTTCAAAATTTAGCAATGCAGCACAAAAACATCAACATTTCAAAAAATTAAAATTTAATGACAGCTGTAACACATATTTCATATAAAAAACATCAATGCAAAAAAAAACTGCTTAATATTAACTGCAGATCATTCTTTAATCAAAGGCAATTTGACATAAAAAATATTACATAGGATGTTCAAAAATAGTATCTATTTTAACAGAAAATGTTTCCCTGGTGATTGGTATATACCTAATGTTGGCATTGGTCAGTGTCTGGTGTCCAGTTGGAGTCCAGTGGTGGGGTCAGGTAGACACTTTCCACAGTAGCCCCCGCACTGACCCCGTACCATCTCACCATCCTGTCAATCACACATAAAACATACAATAAAAGAGGACATACAAAGGGAGACAACTTTCTCTCTATCGTAAAACCTGAACCAATTTTTTTTATTATTTAACATAAAATATCACATTTAAAATATTCTTTCTTAAATATAGATCTTCTACAGAATATGCTGCTAAAACAAAATAACACATTTACAAGAAAAGAAGGGAGAGGAAGTTATAAGAACCTACATTCAAGATTTGAATCTTCTTGGAGGCATTGAGACCATGTAAAATCCAGCTGGTATTCTTAGATACAATAAATCCAGTCCCTGCCAAGTTTATACTGAACTGACCCTACAAAAGAAAACAGTTGTTATATATACATTGATACATCTAAGTAACATTATCTTAAATTTCTATGTTTGATAGAGATGCAAAACATCCTGCCGATTAATGATTCTATTAAACCAGTTCAAATAGTGTAGAAAAATTGTAAGCAATTAGCCAGTTAGAATGATTGTAACATACTCTGTTGGCAAATAGTCAATTAAATTAGCCCTAGCTTACCTATTAGGCAATTATAAGAACAGCTGGAAATGCTTCGATCAGTGCAATCAGTCAATCAAAATGGTTGTTACATACCTGTGGGCAATCACCCTGTGAACTGTAACAGTCCCCTGCTGTTGCGAATGGAATGCTCCTTCTTCCATAGCTGCCTGTGGTAAAGGTAGTGTCATTGGCTGTCAAAAATAACAGAAATTAATCTCAGATTCAGACAAAGAGAACTGGAAGAAAAAAATTTTAGTTGAAATTTTATATCTTGAACATTGATATTTCAAATACTTTAAATGTGTCCAAGTAACTTGGAAGTTCTAACTACAGTTGAACTTTGGTATCTCAGACACTGACATTTCAATTACCGGTACTACGGATATTGCAAAGGGAACTTGAAGTCCAAACCACTCATTGAGTAATTTACCCTTGATATCTCAGAGCCTCATCAGAGATCTTACTTTTTTTTTAGTCCTATTGAGTTTAACTCTTTTCCCCCTAATGCATTACATCCTTTACCCCCTGATGCCACCATTTGACACTATGCCCCATTTCCCTGATGCCACCATTTGACGCATACACACAACAACCCTAAATTAGCTCTGTGATTTCCCCTGTTTCTAAATAAATTCAGCTCTAAATGATAGCCAATCATGTGTATTACACATTAGGTAATGTTACTATAATTAGTGAAGTCACAGCTTGGTGTGAATTCACTTGAGATTTCTGTGTGAAAACAATGGCGCCCAGTCTGTTTACAAGAAGAAATTGGGCCTTGTCACAAGCAAAATTCAGCCTAATATTGCATTTTATGTAACATACCTTGGGTTGTATTAGCATTCACAATGTTTTTACACACAGTTGAATTTAATAGAAATAAAATTTTACAATGAAAATTAGAGGAAGAACATCATAGAATCTTTAACAAGAACAACAATGGCAGCCACAGATTTCCCATGTGTTTTATGAGTACTAAATAATCTACTTTCAGCATTTTTTTCATCTGGGCATTGATTTAGATAAAAACATGTATTAATTTATTTTCCCCAAGACTTTTGCAAGAAGTGGTCAAAAACTAAATATATAAAATATTTATAAACATGCCTGCTTGAACATGATTGTGAAGTTTAGTTGGCTCAAGTCTAAGATAATTACCTATCATTACTAATCTATCTTAATTTAATAATTAATATGAATTAAACAAAAAATAATGAGCCTTTTAATTGGTTTGGTATTATATTTTAAGTTTACTGGTATATTTTATAGAACATTTCTTTCATAGAAAGGATATTATGAAGATTAGTTGTGAAAAATTCATTTTACCTGGTTTCACCTAATTGTTAATTGTAGATTAATTATTCTTAAAAAATTATATGACAATACTAAAGTTCAATCTATTCCCCAAACATTGATATATAATACGTGACACTTTGATGATGTTTAGGTACTTAATTAGCATGTTCTAAATGTAATGGTCAGTCATTTCAAGTCAGTCAAAATGGCTTCAGGGGGCAGCCAGATAAACACTCTAGGGAAATCGCATATGCGTCAAATGGTGGCAACAGGGGGAAAAGAGTTAAGATAGCAAAGTTGGACTGTATTTATTTTACTTGCATTCTGAATTCAATACCTTAAATTCTGCTTTTTCCTTGGCCAAAATGATTTTAGAATAACGAAGTGAGACTGTACTTTTGTCTGTTAAATTTTGTTTTTTGTTTCTTCACAACTTTTAAGGGTTGTGTTACACACATACTGATGATTTTTAGTGATGCGAGGTCTGTCTGTATTTTGGTGTAAGTTGCGTTACATACTTACTGATGATTTTTAGTGATGCGAGGTCTATCCGTATTTTGGTGTACGTTGTGTTGCCTTCCTCTTTATAATGATTATCCCGGCATTTTTCACAGTCGTCAGATCGTGTGCCATTATTTGGACAATGATTTGGTCGTTGTAGTCTAAAATTAATATATTTATTATACCTCGACTGATTTTTTCCTTTATAAAAGCAAAGCAGTAAAATGTGAAAAATTTCCTAGAAATCTCAGTGAATGGACTAATTTCCCATGCATTAGTTAAATGAGCTAATCCCTGCTTCGGAAGCTAATTCCCTGGTTATCCGTAATCCTTTAGATTTTTCTTTTGTATCGGTCTAATATGTTAATTGACTAATTCCCCGTGCATTAGTCTTGAAGCTAATTCCCCGCCATTTGTAATCCTCTATTTGTATTGGTATAATAAAACAGTTAAAAAGTATATCATTGAGGGAGATAGCAAGATTCCAGTTCCCCTTGACCAGGACTATTTCCCTTGGTGCAACTCCTTCAATGATATACTTTAACTGTATACTAATTCATACACAAATATTTGCTTTCTAAATATTTTAACATCTTTAAATTCATTTTTTCAATTTCATTAACTAGCTCTAATCAGCTGATTTTGGAGCTGTTTAAAAATATTCATATATTTAGGCTTAAAAATAAGTTTTAAAAAATAACATATTCTGAGAGAATTTCACTTTATCAGTAGCAAAATCTTACTTCAGTCCATATATCTCAGCAAAATTATTTCCAGCTGGAAGAGTGATGTATTCAGATGGTTGTTTTCTCATGTTCTTGCAGTATATCTGGTTTAACACAAAGTACAGTTATGAAAGTGTATGTCAGTATTAAATTGAACAGGTGAAGAAAAAGCTACCACATCTTTGAAGTAACTGACTTTTTTTTTTACAATTTCAATTTAGCCACATCAACTTTGATATCTCAATTGCCGTGGATACTTTAGAGTTCAATGAAAATCCCAACAATTCTATTTTAAATTATGTCTTTTATTTAACTGTCCTTTAACTTTGACATTTTGAATGATTGGATATCCTGTGGGTTTTTTTCTAAGTCCTATCAGGTTTGAGATAATAAGGGTTCACTTGACTGTTTTCAGGTAAGAACCATGATTACCTGCAATATTCGTCGTTTGACTAGTATACTGTATGTATCATCATGTCGAATCTTTGTTTTCTCCTTCAGCTCTAAACAAGATCGCGCATAACCTGTAAAAATCAATTTCTTATATTTCATGCAATCAGGAAATTTGATGACACTTCACTTAAAATGTTAACAAAATGAATTTTATCTTCTAATCTAAAATTTCAGACAATGCAATGTATTAACTTACATGGTCCAGTGTAGCACTTTTGTTGTGCTGTAGGCCTTAGGTCTGGGGCACACTGTTTACGAGACCGGCGTCTACCAAGGACGTCCACACACAGTACCAGGCGACGCTGCTTCCCCCACCCACACCGGGAGGAGCACTTTAAAGAGAGAATTAAAATCTTCAGTTACATAAAAAGTGATTCTTATAAACATGAAACATTATCTACACAGAAAGCAGAAGCATTTTAATGAAGAGTTGATAATAATCAAAATACTGTTATCACGGAAATAAATCATCAATTACAAATACATGTAGCATAAAACTCGACCAAAAAACCTTGAAATAAATTAAACTTCTGGTAAACTTTTTTTTTATTAATGTAAAATAATAATTCAATGAATCATTTCTTAAGTGTACACTTTCTTTGTCTCTCAATAGAGCTTTAAATTATATAAAAAATTATAACTGTAATACATGAGTCAATTTCAAAATCATTGCAAACATAGCAATCTCTGGTCTCACATTTACTGATCTTCGACAACATAGTATCAAATCTCTTGTTTATAAATTACTAGTATTTCTCTTAATAATAATTTCTTAGCAATTGTTAATGAAAATGCAGCTCCTTTTCTTTTGAATTCTGAACTAGCCACTCTTTTAAAATATTTGCAAAATTAAGCTTCTGTGCAAAGGGAGATAATGCGAAGTTGGACTTTGAAAAATTTTTCATGTGTCCCCAGTTCTCAAGGCCTGTTTCCCAAAGTCTTGAAATAAAAAAAGAAATTGCACAACATTTTTCCTTTATTATTTTTTTTAAATGCAACTTTTTTTTTTGTAAGATAAAATATATCTCATTAAAAAAATATTCAAATACATTTAATAAACCAAATCCTTGAAATAACTTTTTAATTTACAGTAATGTTTTTTCCCCCTATCATTCATACTGTAATTTGATAGTTTTCCTGTAGTAATGCATGGGAAACAAGCTGATAGACAAAGCATCATTAGGACTTAGCAGAGCATGTTAAGCAGTACTTACTCTTAATGACCTTGCACCTTGTCCCCACTTAATGTGGAACAGTGCAAGGTTACTAGTGCTAAAACATAAATACAACAGGTGCCTCATCAAACTGTCACTACTTCATAATTATTTCACGTTTACTATGCTCTATCACAAAGTTAGTAATGTACAAATCATGATCCTTCAGTATTTTTAAAATTTTTGATTGATAAATATACACATTCTAATTATATACTTAGTATCATGCAGAATCAGTCTATTATTTTTAATATATAAACTAATTCTGAAGTAAAAATATTTCTATTTTTAGTACCTTTCCCCATGACCCCACGACCCAGTGGTGGGGGGAGCCACAGTCTCCAAAGTTACAGGTCTGTGTGGTAGGTGGTTTCTCCTCTGGGCGACATCCGTAAGGCACGGATCCGGGTAGGATCCACCCCTCCTTGGTCACCGCCTGACATACAACAGATCTGGTCTGCATTCCCTCACCGCATGTAGCATTACACTGAAGTAAAATTCTTCTCTTTTCATTTAAGGCAAATCAGAGTTATCTTTCTTAGCTAGAGCATAAATATACTTCCGAGTTTTAAAAAGATCAGAGAGATGGATCCTCTTAGCTTACAAAGTAATAATCAATATTAATAATTTTTTTTATGTTTGGGTCTCTTTTTCACATATATTTCAAAGTTTTATATCATTTATATAAAAGTTATAAATCTACAATTCCCCTGCTTATTTCAGACATAAATTATTCAAGCATGTGTATTTAGTCAAAAAAGGATTAAAATCCAATTTTTCCTATTTCAAAAAAATTATGGACTGTAATCATAATAACCATATACCCACGGTATATACCAATTCTTCTCAATATACTAAGCTTTTTTCATCACATAATATTCTTCAAGTTTTCATACTTTTGACCAGGGTGATGTATTCCAGATATAGGGACAGGGGAACTCGTTACAGCGTCGTCGTGATTTTGGTTTGTGCTGGTTCCCACACAGTAAATCATCCACTCGCCGTCCACGACGATCAATACAGTACACTTCCCGATCTTTTGTTCCAAAACCACAGGTCTGGGAGCACTGCAAAAGATCCAAGATTTTTTTATTTTTAATTTCAGTCATCTACAATTATACTTCATATAGTATATAACATGTAGTATATATACTTATTTAGTACATATCATGAAAAACATTACAATATTTGATATTCTTTGCACATATTTTTAACTACCATTTGTATGACACAATTCTAGTGAACAATACAGAGACAAATATTTACAACATATCTCTTTTTTTTTTTTTTGCTCTGTTTTTCAACTGCAACCTCCCCAAAACATTATGAATTCCAGTAACTTAATTAAATATTAGAGGATTGCATGAATTCTCTTTTGTAACTTCTGAGTGTTTTGAGTTCAAACCTCACACATTATATTGCATACTTGACGAGGTAAACATTACAATCCCCCTCAAGAGACCCAGATTATTACTGGCACATCAGTAAAACTTGACTTATTGATGTAACAACATGATGCAATCACTACAATCCAATAGAAATATTTGCCCTAGTCAGTGCCTCACCTTCTGTTTTTTTCTTTAAAAAAAAAACCCCATAATTTAAAGGAGTATAGCATTTCTATGCAATTTTAATGAAATGAGATCTCTCTTAGAGTTACGCATACAAGCTCTACCATGAAAACCAAGAGAAAATTTATCAAGAACTTTATAAAACCAATAAATAAAATTTGCCAGAAGAATTCCTATTTAAAATTAAACAGTCTAGAAAAAAATTATATTACAATCTCCTTGCACAAAGTATTAGCCTTCTTTGATGTTAGTTATACCCCAAAAGGAATGGAGTTCTTTTTCCACATGAAGGGGTGAAGCTGACAGAACAATTCTCAGTCATCCAGAAATCAGCGAGTTTATTAACAACAAGTAGAAATTTAATATGTCATAAAAATAGAAGAAGTTTAATATATTTTTTTAATTCCCACAATAATGCAACATTCTCACAGAGGATTCGCTGTTATTGTAAATCTTTGGATAGGTGAGAACCTTACAAGTTTTATCTTTTGTAATGGTATTTAAACTATATGTTTAGATCATGTCTGTATTTGGATTTTTCTAAAACCTTTGCTTGCACCAGTTAAAAAAGCACTTTGAAAAATCATACGTAAAACAACTGCTAGTAATTTTTTTTAAATGAACGTTGCACTCTATGTGTGAACTAAGTGCGAATAACTACACAAAAACATATTATTGCATTCCCATCACAGTTGGAATACCAATAAGTTTTCATCAAAAACCACTGTACATTATGTCTGCATGCCTGAAGTTTATGTTGTATTAAAGGACTTGTGTACTAAAACCCCAGACTACCAATCCCAGGGTAAAGTGCTTACTATAGAGTCTAGACAAGACCCTCTCTCTCTTTTTTTTGTTATTAAAGATTCGTTTTTTTGCAATAACTGTTCATCATGGCTATAGGGTTGAAGATTTTTATTTTGTTAATAACCACATCCCCTAGTAAAAACTGAAACATTAGTTAAACTTAGGAGTGAATACTGTCCGCGTGATGCTGAGGTAGCAAGGGGCATTGGGTATAAACACTGGAGAGCTGTACTTCACAGACTCTGGCAACCTGTATTTAATTATAAAGTAACTACCATCTACCCTTGACTCATATATGGAGATCTCAAACTTCGAGTGTTAAAGGTTAACACTTAACTAACATTTTATTTCTGACTATTTGTTCATGCATCTTTATCAGCATGCTGGTGAACATATTTAAGTGGTTCTTATAGTTCATCCATTCAGATGTCTTTGTCTGAACAAATGATCCAAAACCGATGAACTAGCCATTATGTATGTACTGGGGTATATGACATGCAGACCTAAACCTCCCCTTCATAAAAAGGATATCATCTTTCACTGATATGGAGCTAAAATCTTTTTACAATTTTATCTGTTATTCTACTAAGTAGGAAAGTTATGGGCAAACATGCTCCACTAATAAAACTGATACTAAAGGCATTGGAATATAGCTAGAAGTCCAATACCACCCCCCTTTCCTGATCAGTCTGTAGACATACCTGGCTCCATGGTGCCCTCCTCCAGGAGTAGTCAGAACATGGCCGTCTGGTACAGACTTTCTGAGTTTTGGGTTTGCGGGTACTGCTGCAGTAGGCAGAATCCACCACTTGGAAGTGTCGGGTCTTACAAGTCAATGTGCGAGTTTTCAGGCCTTTACCACAGGTAACTGAGCACTGAAATAAAATGGATATTTTTTTATAATATTTTATTTTGCAAAATTGATCATGTTTAGCTGCCTTCCTCTAAATAGTTGTTATATTAAATGTTGCAATAATACTACAAACATTAAGAGAAAAAAGATCACAGTAATTCTAACTGAGCTTATTGTTTTAAATGAAAGTCTTGGGTCAAGTCCCTGAGCTGTCTGCATACTAACACGAGACCACTTTTCCCTGTGCCATTTTGGACAGCGCCCCATGTGACACTGTTTGACGCTGCGGGGTTTACTGGCGAGGCACTGTGAGGGGTCCTGCTCCTCCCCGGAATCATTGACACACGTGATTGTCCTCTGTTGGTGTCCTCTGCCACACGTCACTGAACACTGAGGAAAAATAACATAGGTTTACATTAATACAGTATAATTAGATTATTCCTTGTAAAAATTACCAATTCTTTTTTTTCAAATCTTGAAGAAAAATTTGGAAAACTGCTAAACAGTAAAACTTATCTAATCTGGACACCATTGGTTCCAGAGATATTGGTCAAATTCTGGACAGGACAACATTTTGAACAACTTAAATTACTGAAAGGGATTTGAAGTTTACAATGTATTATACAAGTTTTCAGAATACACAACATCTGGATTAGACAAGTTTCACTGTAATATTTTTATATGTACACATAACACTTTGAAAGAGACCCTCTAACCCCCCCCCCCAAAAAAAAATCAAACAATCAAACAAAAACAAAATTGATAAATTATATATAAATGCAAATTTTCCTTTAACTAATCTAATAAACAGATGGTCAAAAATTTATCTTTCTTAATCCACATATTCAAAAATAAAACAGTTGATTGATCATGTATGTTCACCTTACATGCAAGTCAGTACCCTGGATTACCATGCAGGTCAAAGACCAAGTCTGTCTGGCCAATGGACTCATTAGACTAGTGACCTCGCCCAGCTTGTTTATCCCTCCACCGGGAGGAAATCAACACAAATCACAACCCCCTACACTCTATTTCTACATCAATTTCTGGATATAAATGAGAAGCCATTAATCTCTCTGCAATAGAGGGAAATGCTGCCTTTTTCCCCCTCCATTTGCTGCACCTTGTACCCCTCTGATCTTATCAGCACAACAGTTTGATTAAGTTGATGGAGCATCAAATCATTAACATCATCATATAAAAGATTCCCCTTTAAGGTGATTTATCTCCCTCTGAATGCATAGGCTTTATGAATCTCCCTCAAGAAAAGAGTTATCTTATGAAATGTTATATAGCTATAGATGCTTATTTTGAGAAATATCTCTGTGTGTAATTCATGAAAAAAATATGTATGACATCAATTTCACCAGTTTGTAAAACAAAGCTTCATCCTTATGTGGAAACAGAATTCCCTTGTAAAATTGAATAGATATCTGAACAGTATCTAATTTATATTAACACTATACTGCTTCAAATGACAATGATCTTAAAAACAGGAAGTGATAAAAAATACAAGCCTGATCCAATAGATTAAATATGCATACAATAACTTCCCTCAGACCCTGATCAACATGTTTAATAAATGGAAATAAATGTTCATCTTGAAAATTTAATGAAAAATCCAAACCAGTTCTTGTACAATTGAAGTTTCCAAACAAACCACTAAAAATCAAGGCATATTTCTTATCCATTAACTCTATATCCAAAACAATCACATGAAAAACACAAAGATCTAAAAAATTTTGTTAATTTCAAGTGTTTATTATATCATTTGCAAAAAACTCTTTTTGCTTCTTAATACAATCTGGTTTAAATTACTTTGCACTTTGTAAGACCAGCAGTTCTCTTGTAAAACAATGGTATTCATCCCTCATTTTGCTGGCAAGAACAGCATTTCTAAACAGTAGAATCTCACACACTTCAGATTATAAGATTTTTGCACAATTTTTTTGGAAAATGATAATTTGTTAAAAGATTGCCAAATTATTCGAGACAATCAGGTTCGACTGTAGTTCAGAAATTTTGTGAAGAGTTCCCCTCCATTTCCCAGAGCTCACAATGCTTTCTTATTCTTTTAATTTTCACATATGCCAGGTTTTAAAATTGAAGAATGTGCAAACAGAACCGATCTGACATTAATGGGTGGAGCTACCTTAACAACAAGAGGCTGCACTCAGGGAATTTTCAGTTCTTTTAAAGTGGAAGAGGCAAAAGATGGGGTATTTCTTAATATTTCTTGGTTCTTTTAATTACAAAGATCTGCATTTAGAATATTCAGGTTTGACTGTAGATTTCAAAAACTGACAAGGAATCTCTTGGAGAGAAGGAAGATAAAGTCCATGGGGCTTCATGACATTAATGTTAACCTGAACATTTATTATTTACTTATTTCACATACAGTTTTTGCAATAGTTTTATTCTGTATTCAGCAGAAAAGAATGGCATCTTGAAGAGATTGGTTTATTTCCATTGCCTTTTGTTTATCATTCAATTCATTTTAATACTTCCAGATTACTCCACTATTCTTTATTCTTTCACTTAGAGAGGTTTTTTTTGACAAATAAAATGTATTTTCCAGCATTTCTTAACTTTAAGGTATCATATGTTTCTATTAGAAGTCTGGAAAATATTTTAGCTGAATTTCTTATTTTGTCTGGTATATATCATTAGTTTGATTAGATGGCGAACATTTTAATTAATACAATAAAGATTAATAGCTAATCAAACAGTTAAATCTAGCATATCAATTGGTGATCAAATGCTAGATGTTTATTCATTAATCACACTGCACTGCCATACAATAATTTCTCTGATAGTCCAATTTTTAAGGTTGCATGTGTTTATCTTTGACCTGCATGTATTTTTGTAGCTTATTAAAATCAATTGGTCTTTTATTTTTACCAAGGGAACAAAAGCAGGAGGGAACAGAAGGGGGATAACTTCTTGCAGAGAAATGGATAGGAACTCCTTAATTTGCCTTGTACTTGTGGTTTTCCATGGAAACATGACAAGTGGTATCAAAAATAACTTTAATATGACAAATGTACAACATCTTTTTTTGGCACATACAAATATTAATACACATAGAATAATATATATCACAGACCAAAAATTATAATAAAAATAAGCACCACTGATATTAAAAAATATTACTTTCAAAGAAAAATATCAAAATATTATGCTATAAAATAAAAAAAAATATACAATATCATAATAAAAACTGAATACAGTCAAGATTTCACTTTAATTGCACCTAATATCAATACAAGGACTAAAAAAACAAAAATCTAAGTAATCATTATATAATTATTACAGTTAAATTTTAAGTATATAACAATAAAACCACTATGACAAAAACAGGAAATCATATCTGTGTCTTATTTAGTATCAATTGCAAAGATCTTCAGTACACCCCTTCAACCCCCCCCCCCCCAACCAACCAAAAAAAAAAATCAGTCCAAATTTCATGAATAAATATTGAACATGTAAATTAACAATTACTAGAAAAGATTCCTTTCGAAAAATAGAATGAACAATAAATATGGTGATTTAAAGTAGAAAAAAATATATGTACTATTTATTTCTTTATTTATGAGTACTATTATCGAGTGCACTCAATAACTTTTCCATTCTTTTATAAAAGTACATTATCCATCGGAATAAATATGTGTGACATACATTAATTTGTACTTCTTTTCATTCAAGTTTGAATTGCAACTTTACAATATTTTCTCTGAATACCAAATAAAATCTGTTCTAAAAATGAGCTCTTTATCAGATAAAAGTAGTATCTCCAAAAAGCTTGTATAAATCTATTTTAAGAAAAATTCCTGGGTTTTGCCAATACCTATGACTTCTCATCAAATAGTCTCTGATAAATATCTGTTCAAACTCTGCAGCACTATTTCTTGTACCCTGCATGTCATAAAAAAGGGGGGGGTAATTATGTTCTATATGATGTGACACATAATATCCTGTTTTTGTCATAAATTCACAATGTACGACAAAAAATTTACACACTGAATTCTTGAGATCACAGTGAACGTATCATGCATGTAAATACATGTACACCTTTCAAATCACTTCTATACTCAAGTAAAAAAATGTACAAACATTAATTTAACCTCATAGGGCAAATACCTACAATCTATGCTTTTTATAACCACTGCTATGCTGTACTATATGACCTTAAAATACTACAAACTAGGTTAAATAGGCATAATATAATTAAGAATAATTTTGTCAAATGACATGTTGCATCCTAAGGGAGGTATGCCAAAAACATTAGAGATATGGTGACTCAGGTGAGTGTTGTGACCCATGGGCCCTTGTCCTATGGTTTGCTTTAAGTATATTTTTTCTCTTATTATTATCCACTTTGGAAAAATTGAATTTCATTTTAAAAAATAACCTGAAATAATTTGAAATGAGGAGAAGGGAAGACGAATTTTTCGAGACAGTAACGTCATGATTGGCTTGGTATTTACGCAGCAGCTGAAGCTGTTGAATTTACCACCCACTGATTATATAAACACGATTGTCTGATCATTTCAAAAATGTGAAACAAAGTCAAGGTTTTCCTATCCACAGTAACTTGCACATAGCAGATTTTCACAGGTGGAAATTTCCAGGAAAAATGCACAAGCTCAGCAGCCTAATTGAAGCAACAGTTTTTTTGCAATTCTGTTCAAGTTCAAGAAACAAAAAGTATCAATTAAGAAATTTCTTGCATTTTGAAACACTTTTTTGTTGAGAATTTTCTTTTAAAGTGCTCTAATACAAAGAAAAAAACCCAAAACTATGATTATAGATGCCAATTATCCATTGTCTAAAGCTAATACTTTTATCATTCAGACATGATGTTTTTACATAAAAGAAGTGTGCAACATGCTAAGGATTGCACCTCTACGTATAAAAAAGATCACAGGTGTCAGATAAGTTTGATAAAAATGTTGTAACGGGAGGTAATGCTGATTGGTCTGGGTGGATCACAAACCGATATTTAAAGGTCAAAAAACGCAATGAGCAGTACGTGCAACTTTCTAATTGCAACAAGACACCCAGACAGACTTGGAGAATCATCAATAAAAAAAAACTCTAACGTTTGGCCCAGTTGGCATTTTTACAAAATATCGTACAAATACTAGAGTGGGAAAAAAATTCAAGATTTTTCTGAAGAAATAAAAAATACGATGGAAACAATTATGAAGAGGATTGTAAAGAACGTAATCAAGGGCAATAGAAGAGCGTAATTGAGGGCGATTGCTTACAGTGTCTTAATTCTGACAGATTGCAATTGTTAATATCGCCTTGATGTAAGTCCTTCAAAATGTTGTTTATTGCTGTTCAAGATCACAGGGGGGTGTTCAATTCCTCGTTACAGATTGTGCGTCACTTTCCTCAGAATCGTTTATGATTTTTTTTACATCACAAACAACAATTTTAATTAACACTGCCCCACTAACTCATTTACGCACTTGTAGATTAATTTGTTTTGCTCACAGTGTGAAGAATTCTAACAATCCCTGATGTACTTTATGTAACCTACTCCATAATATGCAGTTGTAACATGAAAAAAATATATATTGCACATAAACAAAATTAATTTCAAAGAAGTCTTGATGTATAAAAAAATATATAAAGCAATAGAAAAAATAAACAACTAAAAAATGAGGTAGACATTTAAATATCAAAAAGATGTACTGTATGACACGAAAGCAGAAAAACAACTGCAGAAGAGATGCAAAGAACCTATATCATCTTTAGGTGCAGAATTGAATCATTAGGAGCTAAGCTTTAACATGCAATACTTCTAACATCTCTTAAAGTGTCATAAAATCTACATGTATAAGCTGAAAAAAAAACATTTTTAATTACAAGCAAAGGACTTCCTGATCAAAAAAATCTTCTGCACTCATAATCAAATGAATGTTTCCAAGAAAAATAAATTTTATAAAAGAAATACACTTGTCTTTGAAATTTAATTTCATCTTCTTGCTCTATGTTCAACAATCATCAATCAATTTTCCCCTTATTTTACAGTTGCATTAAAAATAGTGAATAAAGAAGAGGAAATTTGGGAGGTATCAGAAACTTAATGTATCATTGTTTTTAAAAAATGAAGTCCAGCAATACATCTGTAGAACTTTGGTTTCTGAATTCCAGTAACCACATTCAAGAAAGTGTGAAGTCTATCATAAATTAAAATACTTCACTTTTGATAAATAGACCTTTAAAAAATCAGTAACGCCTCATCCACCAAGGTTGCTCTCTATATCTATCTGCCCAAGTTTTACTTCTATAACGCTCATAATGGTTGCGCTGCTGGACAAGGTTGCGTTGCTGGTTACGATCATGCTGCTGGATACGTTTATGTTGCTGAATACTATTACGTTGCTGGACAAGGTTGTGTTGTTGATATCCATTGTGTTGCTGGTTACGACTGTGTTGCTGGATACGATTACGTTGCTGGTATCGCCTTTGTTGTTCATTTCGCATTCGCGCTTGGTTACGATTTTGAACCTGGTTCTGATTACGTAACCGTTCTTGATACTGTCTATCTCGTAACATTTTATAATACCTTTCATACCACCTACTGCGTCTTACCGATTGCCAAGGGTCCACCTTCCAGCGACGTTTGGTCTGGCATGGGCCGTTGTTACAGGCCTGCCTGACAATTGGGCGCTGTGTGTTGTTACACATGGTGTCTTGTAGAATGTGATTGTTGCCCACTTCACAGGTGACTCTCCGACTTTGTATCCCATCTCCACCACAGGTCTTTGAGCACTGCAAAAAAGTATTACTGTCTCATCAATAATCTAGAAAATTAGGGGTAGCTAGGTAAAAAAAAAGCATTGGAAACATTAGATGTGTTAATGTTCTATCACAAACAAAAAATCAAAGCATTGAATTATCTGCAAATTTAAAACATTTAAAAATCTTCAGAAACACAAAAGTCTTGGATTACAAGTTTGTAATGCAATCATGGTTATACTTTTATCTAATCAGAAATAAAACAAAACGCACCTGAGACCAAAGCCCTGTTTTCCATGATGGACACTGAGGCATGTTACAGACTCGAGTTTCCTCTGGTTTGCGCTCGACGTCACATTTTTCACTGTGGTCATTGTTAGACAGACATACAACCAACCTTCTCTGCCAGCCAGAGTCACAGGTAACTGAACACTAAAACAGAAAGTATTTGTGAAATAAAGCAAAAATCATTAGCTGATGCTGATTTCCTCGATCACCAAGTTATCATTCTCATATTGGGTTATTTTTCTTCTTTGGAATTGAATTTTAATCTTTGGAATAGATCTAATTACATCTAAAGGCATGTAGCTGAAGATGAAATCTTGAGCATTTTGATACATTAATCAAACACAGCTATCCTCCTTACCTTGGTCCACGGTCCAGTTCTCCAGTCAACAGAGGGGGGTGGGGAGGTCGTACTTATCGTCGGTACCTCTGACACCATCTCCCCTGGACAGTCCGTCATCTGACATTTACGCGCGGTCTCGGGCCGGATCGCGGCATTGCACTGGTGGTCTGACGTTCGCTGGTGGTTGTAGTTAAAACAGATGACCTGCCTCACCCTCTTTCCCTCCCCACAAGACACACTGCACTGTAAGAGGAGGAAGCTTTATAAAACATGGTGTTCGCATTGAACATTTTGGTGACATTCAAGTATAACTGAACTTTCAAACTGAACATTTTAAAATGTGTGTTAATAAAATATCAACTTTATATCAAAAGTATAAAAAAAGTACATAGGTCACCATCATATAATGATACTGCATGAATACTCGATTGGTGCAGTTAAAAAAATGGAATCCATATTTCCTACATTATTTTAAAAATGCATCACAATTTTGAAAGCCAAAAATTATCAATTTTTAAAATTATTTGGCCTCTCTCTTGCTTCCTAAAAACAATTAACTTCATTTCAACTGAACATTATAGTCCATCTACATGAATCACCTTTGAATGCTCAATTTTTAAGCATAACTGCCAAAAGTTTAAATTATTGCTTACATTGTTGATCCTCTTTCCATATCTTCTAAAAGTACATGCCAAAATGACAACAGTTTTGAAATTTCCTTCATTTTTTTTAACTTTTAAGTTCATCACAAATAGCTACTAAAATACACCTGTATATAAATCACCCTAGAAATTCTCTCCCCTGTAAATAATGGCTTGATTTTCTATTTGGTCCAGTTTTTTATTTGAATCACTGTAAAACCACTTTTTTTCTGTATCATTTAAAAGTGCATGGCAAAATTATGAATGACAACAAAAATCAATCTTCTAAAATTTCTCTGCCCTCTACCGTTTCCATCACAAGTCATTTCGAATATACAGCTACCCCAGTAAATAAATCATCACTGAATTATCTCATTAGAGTGATGAGCGGATTCTGAAATCAGTGGATTTGACAGGATATTCTGTCACATGAAGCCAGTTTATATCTCTGTTAACAGGCTCATCAGCATTAAAATCAGCTTTGGCTGTCAATGTTTGAGGTGTGTTTTTGCAGCAGTGAAGATCAGAAAACAGATAGCTATGTACACTGCTGTGGGTCTGTCAATTCTTATTGCATACAATGTCACATCCTATACTTACAGAATATCCTTCAACTCTTCACTTAAAAGTTCCCTCCTCTGAGGAATGTGTGAAAAACATTTTCTAAACCTTTACAAAAAGCAGATACAGTTAATTCTCGATAAACCGCCACCTTTTGTAATTTAGAAATCATGGCGGTATAACGAATTTGGCGATGAATTGAATTTTCCATCTTTCCTTTCCTGGAAATTAAGAAGTAGATTTTTAAAGATTTTTCTTATATATACCATAAAGCGTTTCTATTCTTATTATTACATGTAAATGTATATAAAATCATATTTCTGATTGAAAATACTTCAAGTAATTTTGTAATGTACAAATTCGCTAAAACAAAATGTGCAGTTATGAAATAAATACAAGTACATGGGTGTGCATTTAAATCTGCAGTTCTGCTATTGAAGATTTTTAAAAAAAATATACATGCTGGGTCGATCACCCTTCGGCGATATATTGCCGATAGTAAGTAAAATGAATTCTTGAATAAATTTATTGTTTATGGCAACATTGTTAATTAAACATTCACAATTTATACCGTATATTATTTTTTCAGCAAACTTTGCAAAGTTTGAAGCAGAGATCATCTAAATTATATAGTTATCGGCGTACTTTAACAACGACCGCTTTTGTGGCAAAGCCGTGACTAAATGATTTTAATTAAAAAACACAAAAACAAAAATATTTTTAACAGCCTCTCTCATGTTAAAATCTTTTTTGAATATTTAGTTCTTGTTTAATTACTTAATTGCATGTACCTTGTCTGCCTTGCATGCTTTACATTTTTTTTAACAGGGATAGTGTCAACCAATTAGCCGCGCTTCACTGACCACACGCACCTGTGGCGGTATATCAAAAATCAATAAAATTGACACTTAAAAATGGACGTTTGTTGTGAAAACAGGGTGGCGGATGGCGAAATCAGTGGATGCGAATTTGGCGTATATAAAGAGAATTTTATATAGCAGGAAAAACGTTCCTGGGAAATCATGGCGGTATTGCGAAAATGGCGATGAATCGAATGGCGATAATTCGAGAATTGACTGTATGTATGCTGGAGCAGGTGTCTACCATATTGTATGTTAAAATGATAAACTATTTCTCTACATAATGGAAGTAAAGTCAAACTTGATGGGAGCAAAAAAAGAATTTGAGGTCCTGTGTCACAGTAGGTGGTGGCATGAAAAAGATTCCTCACAGCTTAATGGCCCTGAAAACTGAGTTCAGGTCTAAATTTGCAGCTCTCCGCCAGCAAATAGTGCCATCTCAATATGAGGGAAATATTCTCGTAGGGATGTTAAACAAACAAACAAAAGTGTGGTTGAAGGGCGATGGTTGATATTTACCTGGCCCCAGTGTCCTGACCTCCAGTACCCACAAGGTCGTTCAGAGCAGGCCTTGGAGCTGATGGGGCGGTCCAGCTGACTGCAGAGGGAGGGGCTCCTCACGTACCCCTGGGCATCCTCACACCTCACAAAGCGGTTCCTCCTCCCCTCCCCACATGTTACAGAACACTACAAAGATAAGTACACATTGTAAGCAAAAATAGTTAAAAGTCATTTTATAAGGAATTCAACAAATACTGTATACAGGGTTATTTTCGCCCTTTTACACATGCTAACAATTTTTCCCTGTTATAAATTCGCTTAGTCGCAGTTCTGTTTAAGAATCTATACCGAGTTCTTTGAATTCGTCCCATTTTGAATATTGACAAGGATGCATAGAATTAAAAGTAATTTTAATAATATAAACCAAACTTCAATAATAACAAAATTAAAAGTAAAAGGCAAGTGGCTTCCCTTTTTAGTACTCTATCATTATACATATTTTAAGATATTTTAAATTAAATTAACAGTATCTCTTAAAAACACAAGTAAGTTTCTCTGTTCCCCTTTTTGAAAACAGTAAAACTGCCACTGAGTTATAATATTGCAGGGTTGATTTGCTCTTTGACCTCGACTGACCCTCAATAATTCCCCCCTCATTCAGACCACACAGATCCCCTCTGCTGTTAAACATGTGGACCTTGGGTAATTAATATCACTTCTCATATGTTATCTTGATACAATCTTTACAAGCTGGTTAGATTTTTACCAGGGATAAGCTTGTCTGAGGCACTAGATCATGTTTCCCTTTGCCTTGTTAAATTCCAATTAACATGCGAGAAGCAGCATTTTAATGAGGAGCTTGTCTGATTCCTTTTACCATTTTACCAATGCAACGACTTTTTGCGAGTCTACATGGCTTCCCCCATTTTTTTTATTTTAGCTTGAATCACACATGCAAGTTGCACATCAACCTTCTATTTTAATCTTTAATCAAAAAATCCTTGAGATTGAAATAGAATTCATTAGCCACTAGAGATTTAATCACATTACTTGTTAAATAAGCAGTTTTGAATTAGAGAGTGCCTTTGAAGTTCAGAAAAGCATGAACATTTAGCATCAATTAATGACTTTTCAACTATTTTAATATTCCTGAATTGACTTTTCTGCATCCATTACATATAATACTGCAATCTGTTCAGTATCAATTCTGGCTATTAGGGGAGTATTATGAACTGAAATCTCTCCTTGATAAAAACAAGGCAGAGAGAATTAACACAAAAAACCACCAGACAGAAAACAGATAATCCAAGCTGGATTAGTGGAATGACCTGACACATCTTAACAAAAGCAGACACTTCATACTGTAGCCTCCCCTCCAAAAAATCACAGCTTCATCAAGGTCATAAAGGTGCTTTGCATGGCTGCCAACTTAATTTGAAGAAATGAAATCAGCTGACAGTTTTAGGAATTAAAATGTGTTAAATAACCTTTCACTGTTGTGTACATCTCTCAAGTTTCCTTTGAAGATCCAAAAACCAATGCCAATTTACAAGTTTCAGAACTGTTCAATTTTATCCACAAAATCTTGATTTTGTGGCTTAGACAAATCAGTAGCACCCAGCCATGTGCCAATTTTTTTTTTTTGTTTTAAACTCAACCGCACTCATATGCTGTTTAAGAGCAATCAGGTCAATTTGAAACCTCTTTCTTACCTGAGACCAATCACTGGTTCTCCATTTGACTAGCTCCTGTGTGGTTGTTGTATCTCTTGCTGTAGTGGTGGTGGTAATAGTACTAGAAGTAGTGGTCATTATGTCCATCATTTGGGGGGACTTTGTCTGCTTTACAAATTTCAGTCGGGGTTGAAGTGGGCAGGGTCCCATGTAACATTTCCTCGTGTCGTAAGGTCGGCTTGAGGGGTCACAGATTCCGCCACGTAGGATTTGGCCCTCCATGCTTCGACACTGGACATTTCTGACTGAAACTCCATGTCCACAGCTTACAGAGCACTGACAGGAAAAAGAGGGCAATTAATACATATCAAAAATAAATATTCTCAATTTCTACTTTTTATTCACTATTTATTAAAAAGAATTTTTCTCAATTTAGGATGCAGTCTTAATGTGTGTAAAATCAAGCGGAAATTAAGTAATAGTTAAGAACTTAACTATATATGTTCAGAAAAAAGAAAAAAAAATTCCTAAGGCAACTAATGTTAATTTGCAAAGTCCACAAACTGTATTATAAACAGCTAATATCTCGGAAAAGTTGATGAGAAGGTTTACATCTGACAGTGACATATATAATATATGGGCTGGAAGTACCAGTGAACTGTGACAATATCTACTGTGTCACATTACCCTGGGTAGAAACTGATGACTCCTCCTTAAGACTTGTTTGTAATTTAATGTAAATAAGTACATGTACTCATTAATTGAATACATATCCCAAAATATCTTTGTCAATGGCATTATTTTTTTTCTACTTTTAGTAACAAGATCAAGTTTTTACCATTTGTTTTAACTTGAGAGTCTCAGTTTTCACTTTCTTCAAATTAATTTTTCACGAAGTTCAAAATCCTAATTTCTTTCTTATTAATTATCAGTCTGCTCTATTTCTAATCTAGTTCTGATACTAAAGGGATCATCTGATGATCTATCAGAGGCAAAATGTAGGCAAAATTATAATGTTAGAAGTATAACCCAAGTGCCCTGCTTTACTGCAGTGTTGACAGACTGCACTGGTACCCACATAAAACACCTCAGCTGTAAACCCTAACTGTTAACCCTAATGATGTACAGACACCTTTATGAATGGGGGACAGTCTATTATCAAGCCACAAATCTCAATGAAGCGAATTCAGATAAAAACATCAAGGTTATTAAATTCCATTCAAGATCTCCTCTGCCACCTCTGGTGACCTTGTGTGTCTATAAATGTCCTATCACCGTGTCTCCGTCCTTATCATGTCACATCAATTCTCACTCATACCCAGCCAGCCACCCCGCCCTCTCCTACAAACCTGAAAAATCACCACAACTTATATTTGACTTGAGTCAAAGTACCTCCTGATGACTTTTTTGACCTGCCCCTGGCCTTTTCAACCCAATACTCAAAACAGTCCAACACCCACAATAATGGAGGGAGATTAACTCTAATCAAAATCTCCAGGCTCTGTTGTTTACAAGGAGATTAAAATTAGAGTACTCTTGTCAGACTAAATGTATTTTAATTAAATCAAAATTACTCCAGCTTTACTACTTTCCAATAAAACTAAAGAAGACCAAGGTTTGAAATGTGTTAAATTCTTCTGGATTTCTTAGTAATTTTATATTGTTCAAACCACTCTGAATTTAATTATATACATGTATTTCCAAACTTTCAGTATAGGCAAATCTTTTAAAATTCATTGGAAGTCTTAAACTTTACAGCATTGATTTCTAACATTACTGAAAGAAATTTCTTCTAAGATAAAGGGTACAATGCAATATTAATAAATGTACACATACGAACATGAGAAATATTTCAATTCAAAGACCACTTAACAGTATTGATTGAAGAACTGCATCTTCTCAATAAGATTACACACATAAAACAAGAGGCCCATGGGCCACAGTGCTCACCTGAGCACATCAGCTAGGAAAAAGCACATATCAGATCAGAACTGAAAGTTTTATAAGTTTGGGGGGGGGGGGGGGCTTGAATTTTAACCCCCCAGGGGATCATAATTTGGAAGAACTTGAAATCTACACTACCTGAGGATAATTCCATATAAATATTACTAATCATGGCTTTGAAGTACTTGAAAAGAAGATTTTAAAAGGTTTCCCTATATATTCCTATAAGAAAATTTTGGCCCCATCCTACCCCCAGGGGTCATGATTTGAACAAACTTGAATCTACACTACCTGAGGATGATTCCACATGAGTTTCATCTTTCCTGGCCCAGTGGTTCTTGAGAAGAAGATTTTTATAGATTTTTCCTTTATATTCCTATGTAAATTTTGGCCCCACCCTATCCCCGGGGGTCCTGATTTGAACAAACTTGAATCTACACTATCTGAGGATGATTCCACATGAGTTTCATCTTTCCTGGCCCAGTGGTTCTTGAGAAGAAGATTTTAAAAGATTTTTCCTCTATATTCCTATGTAAAACTTTGATCGGCCATGTTGGCCCCACCCTACCCCCAGGGGTCATGATTTGAACAAACTTGAATCTACACTACCTGAGGATGATTCCACATGAGTTTCATCTTTCTTGGCCCAGTGGTTCTTGAGAAGAGGATTTTTCAAGATTTTTTCTATATACTCCTATGTAAAACTTTGATCGGCCATTTTGGCCCCACCCTACCCCCGGGGGTCATGATTTGAACAAACTTGAACTTGAACCTACACTACCTGAGAATGATTCCACATAAGTTTCATCTTTCCTGGCCCAGTGGTTCTTGAGAAGAAGATTTTTAAAGATTTTTCTTATATATTCCCATGTAAAAATTTGATCGGCCATTTTGGCCCCACCCTACCCCTGGGGGTCATGATTTGAACAAACTTAAATCTACACTACCTGATGATTATTCCACATGAGTTTCATCTTTCCTGCCCCTGTGGTCTTGAGAAGAAGATTTTTTTAAAATGCCATTAATTTTTCTCTAATTCATGATTATCTCCCCTTGGAAAAGGGCATGGCCCTTCATTTGAACAAATTTGAATCCCCTATACCTAAGGATACTTTGTGGCAAGTTTAGTTGAAATTGGCCCAGTGGTTCTTGAGAAGAAGTTGAAAGTGTGAAAAGTTAACAACAATAATGACGACGACGACGCCAACGACAGACAACGGACAAATTTTGATCTGAAAAGCTCACTTGAGCCTTTGGCTCAGGTGAGCTAAAAACTAATTGTAATGGGGGAAGATTTTATTGCATGTCACTTCCCTCCTCTTTGCCCATCAATAAACCCTCAATGATAGAATGGAGAGGTTAAATTCAGGTCCATCTCTGACCCTAATCCTAATTAGATGCAACACTCACATCTTTAACTTGGTGGTAGATCATCAAACAGAACACAGAGCCACAGCCTATGGATTATCTGGAGCCAGCATGGAAAATTTATCTGTCTAATCTTATACATGACAGATTATCGGAGAGATCAGGGGCAGATAATCCATCACACCATGGCCACTCAAGGGCAGATAACCCAGATGAACCTAATCAAGCTGCTGATCTACAGGCACTTGACAATAATCGTAGCGTTTCATCAATCAGTTTACAAGGAGCCCTCAAAGAGAATGGTCAGTTACATGACTGGATGGGGGGCCAATGATCCTACCATCCAATATACAGCGGCTGCACAGCAGTGTACAGTAATATATATGTAGATACATTGATAATGATGATATCTCTACCTCGTTACTGCTTTATTAAATTAAAATAAAGTGCCACGCCACAGCATGATACGCCCGTCAAAAAATTACACAATTATCTTAAACAGTTTAGAGTGCAAGAAAATCATGTCAACCTTGATTCCAAGATTTCCATGATTCTTCCATTTTTAAAAAAAATATTTCTTTATCCATCCCCTGTGCTGTAGGCATAATTATAACAAATATTACATAACTGATAGATTTCTATACTGTTTGTGTTAAGACTTTGTCAGATGCCGGCCATCATAATAAACAATATCAAATTAGTCAAGATTAACAACTTAATCTTTGCCAAATAAATTTTGAAAAGAAAGGCTGGCCATCAAATGACATATGCTATAAACTGACCAGCAGTTCTTCTGTCTAATCCCCAAAGGATACAGATAAGGCAGAGCTTGATCATATAGCCTTCCTACATTGAACTCATTAATTAATCTTTGACTGGATGCTTGTCTACTCATTACTCCCTAAATGGATCTGCACTTTTTATCCTAAAACACTTTTAAAACATATAAAATACTCCATGATTTCTTTTTAGATTTAATGCCAAACAGGTTTTATATTTAATTCATATGGACAAGTAGGCATGCTGATTCAACCCCACCCCTTAAAATTAGTTTTTAATTAATTAATATTATATAATATCAGATTATTAGTTTATTATGCAATATCAAATAAGTTTTAATTACTTTTCATCAAATTCATTTTAAAACTTAGGCTAGCCAACAAGAGCTATTTTTAATCTAACAGCTAGGCTGGCTGTCCATTTGCCCAATACTCAAGGGATATAGATAACACCAATGCTCTACTAGTAACCTCCTCACACTAAACTCATTAATTTCTCTCTAATTTGACATGCAACTTTCTGCTATCAAAATTCTTCTTGACCAGTGCTTGATAATTATGCCCATGGGACAAACTGAATTCCTCTCATTAACATTGACATTTGTTAAAGATTGCTGTAAAGTATATGATGAAAAAAATAAGTTTTTACTTGATTTAATACTTTTTCATAAGGATACAACTCTATTTTTTACATTTCTAGGATTATGAAATTTAAAATTTAAAAAACTTAGTTTTTTAAAAAAATTCACTAAAATTAAAGGACAGTGACCTTGAAATAGGTCGCGACACACCTTCTACCTAAGATGTATACTTTTGCCAAGTTTGATAGCTCTAGGTCTAATAGTTTTCTAGTTATGAGCCGGACAGGATTTTTCCATATTTGGCCATAGCATCTTTATTAAAGGTCAGAGCGACCTACTTTTTGTGTGCGACACACCGTCTACCCAAGAAGTATCAGTTGACAAAGTTTGATAATCCTAGGCCTAATAGTATTGAAGTTATGAGCCGGACACGAATGGACAGACGGACAGACGGACAGCTGGACGGACGGACGGACATGAAGCCTATAACATAATACATCCCGTCTTAAGACGGGCGTATAATGATTCATTTTTCTTCCTCGGTCTCGAAGCATATCTGCTAAAATATACATCCATTATGGTAAATATATGTGAAATACTGATTTGGAAATGATACTTTCTTTAATCATTTTATATATCAATGCTTAACTCTTTATCAGTCTGAATTATCTACAGAAATAAACTTTCTGTCACAGATGAAAAAAAAGTGAGAGATCCCATCATTGGCCTTATCTCTCCAGCATCATCCTTCGATTTGAATCATGCTCTAATTTCAGAATGAGAAATTACAGAGTAAATCCTTCAATTACCTACAGCTTCAAAGCAAAATGTTTGTAAACAATGACGGTCAAGTACAAGAATTTAAATGTACTTTCAGGACAAAATAAATTACTCCTTAGTAAGGAAAACCAAATCACAATTCTTTTAGCAACAGTAACTTACTTCAGAGCTCTAATAAGCCACTTCCCTTATCATGATGACATTTATAAATTGCTGTAAATCAACTTTTATTCCCAATATTTTTTATTTGTGATTAATAAATTTGGAATTCATTTGCATCTATTATTTTTTGCGATGAGGCAACATTCTACACAGAAATGAAACTAAGGTGTTAAATCAGTTTGGGCTACCTTGGTTTGTGACGAGAAATATTCAAGAATAAAATGTCACAAACCTTGCAGATATTTCTTTGCTCAGGCAAAAAAGTTGGATTTTATTGACTACAGATAGAGGTACGTACCCTCTCCCAGCCTGAGGTGTACCAGATAGGACAGGGCCCCTGGTTACAGTAATTTTATTGACTACAGATAGAGGTACATACCCTCTCCCAGCCTGAGGTGTGCCAGATAGGACAGGGCCCCTGGTTACACACTTCCATGTTAGAGGGGCGGCTGTCTCGGTCACACTCCTTCTCCGGCACTTTACTCTTGCCTTGGTAACAGTAGATCTTTCTGTGTCGGATGCCAGCTCCACATGTATGAGAACACTGAAAGTAAACCAAGAAAAAAATTATAACTTTGTCATGCCTACATCCGCAGAATTGATACAATTTTGACCTCCCCCCCCCCCCCCCCCGGACCCTTCATGCCTGCCTTACCCCGTTCCAGACACTGGCATGCCACTCTGGACAGGGTTGTTCGTTACATTTCTGGATCATCACCTTGCCTGTGTCGTCACACTCGGTGTCTGGAAGCTCATTCTGACGATAATCCATACACCTTCCTACCCGTTCCTGGAACCCCCCTCCACAAGTCTTGGTGCACTGTTAACGTGAAACAAGTAGTATTAAATTTTACTTTCTTTGATAACAAGCTGAATTTTGGGGCACTGTGAGAACAAACCATGTATTATCAAAATGTTATTTTCTGTATTAATGATGAGTTTGGTGCATTGTGACAGTAAAACAATTAAGGATTAATAAAATTGTTTCTTTCTTCATTAATAATCTGTGGTACTTAATTCTGTTCACGAATATGATACAAAATTCTGTTCACAAACTGCCAGAATCAAAAATTTGTCTTAGAAATATATGCCATGCTGTTCAATAGCAAATTATAGGGGTACTTCAACACTTCAAAAAATATCTTCCAACATGGTAATGAAGTAATTTTGATTAAAAGCCACTGGGTAGAGGAAGTGTTTATTAGGCATCTCAATAATTGTTAATAAATATTCCCAGGAAAAGAGGCATGATTCCTGATAAGTCCTCTGTGTAACTGTCAGAACTGCTGATAACCTCAGAGTTTAACATCCTTTTTATAGCAAGAGGCCAATGGGCTTTGCTGGACTCCTTTGTATAACAAGTTTTCGAGGGTGTGAGAAACTTAATATTACCTGAAACTTGACTTATAGATCCATGTAAAATGGATATTAATTTTTTTTTAAAATAATGTTTTAAGTTTGTCTTCTAGATGCTGAGGAGTAAAAATTTGTAGTTTCAGGGAGATGGGACCATGAAATTTAAATCTCATTCTCAATAACCATACAGATGTGACATATACATGTATTTGGATGAAATAAGTTCAGCCTCTAAAAAGAAAGCTGAATATGGTATGACGACAGAACAGAATAGCTGACCTATTACTCTTACCCTGGACCACTCTGTGTACTGCCACTGTGTTGGGTTACACTCTCCTGTACACATGACGAGGTCCCCGGGGCGGTGCCCTGACCCCCGGCACTGGTCCCCAGACACCTCCTCCTCCCTCCAGTTGGTCTTCTTGATACACCTCACGGTCTGTTTAGACACCCCTTCTCCACATCTCGCTGAACACTCATGTCTCTCAGCCTCCCACCTTAAAAAGAGGGTCAACTGTCAACTTCTGTCATTAATTATCATAATATAGTAGTAAAATGTACAATTTTTGATAATAGCTATTGTCCTTTATCTGTTTCTTCTGTATATTTTATGTCAAATTATGACTGATTTGATAGCTCAACTTAAGCTTCCTTAGTGGAGGACTAGATCAGGACTGGACAATCCAAATGCAGGTTTTCTTCCGTTATCAATATGAAATTTGCTTATAAACTAAAAATGTCAAAAGTTTCACAAATTCTTACTCTAGGATGTTGATAATCTACTGTTTTTTTGAGGAAAAATACTTTACCTAAGAGTACACTCCATATTGCAGCGCTCCGCTCTTGGGATTGGCTTGGAAATATCAAGACGTTCACATTTTTTATCTGAGACAATAATCTTCTCTTCATCATCACTAACGCACACAACAGTCCTCTTTCTGTAACCTACAAATAATTATACAATATTTACACAATGGTCAATTTTCTTAACCTCCACATATAACTATATGCAGTACGTAAAACCTAATCTGACATGCTCTGTTAGAAAAATTTTGTGTCAGAATAGACAGTATGTCATATTGAGCAGTGTAAAAAAAAAGACACTTTTTACTGTACATACATGACACTGGCAAAATATTGCCACCTCTAAAGAGAAATAATTTGATATTTCTGAGGAATCCAGATAACAAGGTGAAACCAAGTTGGGACTTCCAACTCCTATTGACATATCCATTGGTTTTAGAAATACTGAAGTTTGACTGTATCTATAAATAAAGCTCTATAATTCTGTGAGTAACTAAAAACTGAATAATGGAGGTGATATTTGTCTACCTTGGCATGTACTGTTACAGGGTCCATACGGCCCCTCACTACTCCACACAAACCGAGACTCCACATTAAGGACGTAGGTGTACTCTATATTAGGGGGAAATAACTCTCCAACTGATAACACCTGCAATGAATTCAACCTATACATGTATAATATTACAATATGGCAAAATAATAAATTCACAGGTCTGGACAGTATTTTTCTAAGCTTTCTTTTTAAAAAAAAATCTTATTTTATTTCTGGCAAAATTGCTTGCTAAATCACTGATAGTTTTTCCTTTTCATTTCTGAAAATGTATCGATAGAAACTTTATGGGTTACATCCAAAAAAAAAATTTACAGAAAACATCCATAATCAGCACTACTTAAGCAGATTTGAGACTCATAAATTTTAAAACATATGCAAAATTACACAGATGCAATTCATCTCCACATAAAAAGGTCTGAAAATACCTCACAAAAATTGCTGAAAATTCAGGAACGAGTGAAAAATTGGAAACAAAAAGGTTCTGACAAGCAAACAGAAGAAAACACCCGAAACAATTGTTATTTTGGACAGAAAACAATATGTTACAATTAGAACAGGGGCTTCATTTGTTTAAGTTTTGGAAACAGGGGAGACCTCCTGACCTACACTGCATGATAGAAAACAGGGGGGTTGATTGATGTAAACAACGGTGGATACATGATCAACTAACTGTTTACTGGGATAGAGAGCTCACTGGTAGACTGGGTCATCGAAGGCAATACACACTACAGGAATAAGAACTGGGTTAGGAATTAAAAGAATTATCACAATCTTCATCTCCAGATCTCACAATCCCAGTTTTATCTCAGCATTTCAGCCTCAGATTAAACTATAAAACTAACATTAATATAATCAGATAAAAGAAATTAGGCATTCAGACAGAGATACAGAATTTAGGACGGACTTGGAAACTGCACTCTTAAAGTCTTCAAATCACTTGATTCGAACATGAGAACTATAATTATATTGTTTTAGCATGACCATTAATTGGAGGAATTTGATTTTTTAACAAGTTTGCCTTGATTTTAATAGCCTTTTTAAATATATGCATTTATTATGTTCTCCCTTACCCATAGTGAGATACTCTCTTGTATTGGTCCCGTGGCGTTGATCTTTTCTACCACTGCTCCTGAGCCGCTGTATTCTATCCAGGCCCCAGTCACACGAATCCTCGTCTTAGCCACATTAATGGTCTTGTTGCCATTCAAAATGAACCGCTGAGTCTGATTTTTTAGAGCTGTTAACAATTTACAACAAAATTTTATTAAAATTTGAGTAACGACTTTAAAATTTGGTAATTAAATCTGAAACCTAACAAGATAGTCAATTCACAATTCACAATATCTTAAAAAGACTGCATTTTATAATGTATCTTAAGGATGGAAGCAATATATAGTATTACAATAAAAGTACCCAAAAAATTGCCATCTTCATCAAGTCCCGACACTACGCCGTGCTGTTTTATCACAATTTCTCTAGCTCCAGTCGGAATGGTATGAACATAGTTGTATCCTAACAATAAAAACTTAAACTTTATAATAGACATGAATATTACTTCCATCAAAATCAATCATAAACATAAAAGCGTTGCTTTTTCTTCATCAATTACAAATACCGGTATGCATTTACAAAAAAACATTCTCATCTTGAACCTGATTTGGCTGAGAAAACCAAGATATTTGAGAATTTGTGAGATTTTTAATTAATAAAAAGACATTAAGGAAATGAATTTGGGACTTCAAAGACACTTCAAAATATCCAAGGTGTCTGAGAAACTGATGTTCTAGATACAAAGTTCAACAGTACCGTAATTCCTTGATTTGAAATAAATAACAGATGATAACTTAAAAATTAATTTTAAAAAATCAGCTCTAAAGGCTTTCGTAGATATTGTAAATGACCTTTTTTCCATAAGTCAAGCAACTCCTAATTAGCATTACCATAAGTCAAGTTAACCAGGTTGAAGCGGTTGAAGACTCGCTCCATGCGGCATGTCGAGTTATCGCCACCACAAATACCACATCTGTCTACCACCATGTTGGAGCCCAGTTTGTTGTCGCAGCCAGCTTTCTATGTAACATCAAAAAACTTGATCTTAACATGATACCACTGATTTGTACATAATTAATTTTTTTGTTACAAAGACTTTATAACAGAAAGCTTATTGTTCAATGTTCTGTAGAAACAAGCCAATGCAATGAATGAAGGAATACAGTGAAACCTGTCTAATCTAGCAGGCAGTGTGAATTTGTGTCAGAATACACAGGATGCCAGATTGCACAGTGTAAAGAACAATAGTAAAATGGGAATGAAAATAAACACTGGAATTTACAGTAAAATGGATTACACAGGTGTTGGATTAGACTGTTTTCACTGTAGTCTGTACTTTATTTCTGTATTTAGATATTCTTTAATTTATAGCTAGTGCTACCGAATCTTTTCCTACCTGGCACATGCCATTGACACACATATCAAAAGTATCTGGTCCACACTTGGTTCCATCTACAACTTTGTCTTTTAGAAGGTAGTAGGCAGAACTGGAGGAAGCACGGCAGTATAGCTTACAAACATCCTTCAAGCGAACTGTAACACAACAAATCAATCCATGAAATTAAAAGATTTTTTCACCTGAAAATTGTACACTTATTTTTTCTGTACATGCAAGTATAAATATTTTAGAGGGATTTATACAAAATGGAGAAACCTTTAGAAAGGACAGTAAATATAGTCATATAATCTTTGTGTAGCAATATTCATTAAACTTATTTCAGGAGTCTTGAATGGTATAATTTTTATTTTCAATTTTGCTCAAGCATAGAGATTCAACTAACTGAATTTCTGCTAACGCCTATTTAGAAACTAGTATGTCTGAGAATTCATAAAATTTAAACCCTTTTATTTGGCACTAGATAAAACCATCACAATTTTCCTAAGGGAACATTCATCAATGAAGATTTGATACCAAATGACAACATTTTTGTTTCAATAATGTTATGAAAATACTTCTGTATAAATTTTGAACAATTTAAGGTCTGTCTTAATTTGTTTGGTTTCCTGACATCTAACATACTTCCTGCATACTTTGGGACCCATCTGACATTGGAAGGCAGGCCTTGAAATTTCAGGCTGTTGTCGAAAGCTGAACATTGGATTTCACGAAAATCTTTACTGCCTGGGTCACACGGCTACAAAACAAAAAACAAGTATGCTGGGTCAAAACCATTATACAATCACACAACTATCAACACAAACAAGTTTTCAAACATCATCCAGGCCTATAAACAAAAAAAAAATAGTAAAGGGAATAAACTACACATCCCCCTGACTCTCCGGCTATTCAACCTTGTTCGAGCACCTAAGCTTCCCATAAACACCAAAATATTGCCAATATGGCAGACCATCCTGGGAGAATCCAGTAATTAATGTTTATTTATAGGAAAAGATGAACGATTTTGAACCTGTTCAACTCTTGGACTCCGTAGGCATATTTCATTATTCACACAGTCTTCTCATTTGTGACTATCACTCAAAACAGTACCCTGGTAGTTCTACACCTGATAGCAACACCTGGTTTGTGTTTGTGAAGGTGACTGCTTCATCTTTTTCTTAACTTCATGATTAATTAAAAAATAACAATAAAAAACCCTCCTCCTATATCTATCAAAATGCTTACTTGCAGAATCTTCCTACAGAAGCTCAGACTTCATACTTTAACCAAACAAAAAAAATCTTCCTGCCATCTTAATTTTGTTACTTCCTAAATACATAATTGTCAATTTTGCAGGAGAGACTGCTGGGAAGTTGTAGGTTTTGTTGCACTGCATCATGGGAGATCAATAATTAAGGTATTGTTGTGGGGTCGTTGACTCTCTTGCACTTAAGCACCGTTACAGAATACATAAAACTTGCATTTTATCAGTGGGTAAAAAAAGAGAGGAAGATGCTGAAATGTTTCAGCTCCCTGATTCGGTTCAAGGTCCTGGTCTTACCTTGGTGTTGCACGATTTATATCGGGTTCTGCGTCCGGTGCAATACCGACCACCATTGGCTGGCCTGCAACAGGAAAACAAGAGTAAATAACAAGAACAAAGAGTAGACAACAAAAACAAGAGTACACAACAAAATTACAAGAGACCAGCATTAAAAAAGTACAAACTTAGAAGTTTTACACCACATTTATTGAAGATTTCTATACAAGCTATTTGTTTTCAGTATGTGTTTTTACAAAGATGGTCACTCTTATTAAATAGAGTTGAGGGTTTTAATTTTTACTTTACTCTCATCCTGATTTTCTTATCTTCTAAAATTGTTCCTCAGGAAGGGAACACAAAAAATGACCCAGCTTTATGATCTTACTCAGGGTTGTTACATTTGCGGATGGCCATTCTGACCCCTCCCCCACAGGACGTGGTACAGTCACCGTACATTTCCCACACACCCCAGCTTCCATCAATTCGTTTGGGAATCGATTTTGCCACACAAGCTCCTTGTTGGCACCACTGCAAAAAAAAAAATAATAATAATATTATGCCATGTATCAAATCACAAATAGTGTCAGACATGTATAAGAGAAAAACAAAATAATTTTATTTGCTCTCATATCTGTCTTCATTAATCAGACAAAAAACAGAAATATTGACCAAAGAACTATATGCGGTATTAACCAACATTTGCCCCACAAAATCAAACTTTGATGGAGTAATATTTAATTAAGTCCTTAAACAGGGGAGTATATGCTGACTTCAAAGCACTGAATAATTTCATAAGTAATGACGTCATATGTACGTAATGATGTCACAAATATGACGTAAATTTCAGTTTTTTATGAATTTTGCAGAAAAATGTCGTCGATATTTTAAATAAAATCACCGAGCGCATGTGTGTTCAGGAAAAATATTTTGATATAATGTGTAGAATGATAATATCAATGAAATATGTCAATATTGTTCCTGAACACACATGCGCTCTATAAATTCTAAAGCTTAAATTGTTGAAATTTTGTCCATTTTGTCCTCTTTCTGAAAAAGGATATAAAATCGGACTAGTTTGTGACGTCATAAAAACAGAAATTGTGAATACACTGCTCTGGAACTATAATATTTTCTGTTAAATTATATTTCTCGTACTATTTATTGATTTCAGCACATTTCAGGAAGTTTTCAAAATTTGAGCAAACATATGCAATATACCGCATATAGTTCTTTCCTGAATTTACTCTCTGAATTTATGAATATGAGTTCATTTCCATCTGAAGTAATCAAGAACAACCAGGTTTGTATATCTAACATGCATCAAGTGGATTATTAGAGGAAAAGAAACACAAAGCATCTGCATCATATTGAGGGAATTTTTTTGTAATCATTAAGGGATTTATTAAATCTGAGACCTGGAACATGTGATAAATTACTGATATCACATTTGATTGTCTGTGACCTTAAGTTTCAGGTTAATCAGATCAAGGTCATCATCTCCCCTCCGCCCTCGTGCCAGCTTGAATTTTGCTTTCCTTGACGTCAGTAATCATCTACCGCCTTACGAACAGGTTTTGTTTTTCATGATTTTGATGTCCAATAAAAAGCGGTTACAAAAAAAATGTGGGGTATGTATGCAGTATAACAAAACTTGCCCTGATTTAATGAATAAACCCTGCCCAACATGGTCAGACTCATAAACACAATGTAATGAAGGGCATTCAAATGAGATAAATACCTCTTATCTAACTCAAAAGTGGTTTACTTATAAAAACTGAGTTTTAACACAACATCACGTCAGCTTTATGACTGAGTAATAGAGAAGAGTGAAGTCAGAAGCACTGATGAGCTTACAGCTAAAAGCACGTAAACACCTCGAACATCTGTTCCTCTTAGTATGAACTAAACTTTGGAGCAAAATTATTTATTGAAGACAAATTTCAAAAGATCTTTTAATTACCTCCCCTGTTGACAAATTTGTCTCCCTTTACAGAACTCTCCAGGAAATAAAAAACGGTATTGGGTAAATGATCAGATACTGCGGTGATGAGGCAACAATTTTATAAAATTCCCTGTTTCTTAGTGTAGATCTGATACTGTGTGGGGTATTCAAAAAATGTTTTAAATATTATCAAGGGGGATAAGTTTTGAGAGGAGGGGCCCGTAAAAGTCTTTAAGATTGCAATCTACCACCTAGTTTGCTTTAGAAGTCACCAGAAAGTAGGAAACTATAATCCTTGATCCATTAAATTCTGCACCCTAGGTCCTGTTTATTATTGATGAAGGATTTACAAAGTTTTCCACACAAGCAATGAGCCCCAGGATATGAAGTAGGCTATTTATCTGTCTGCTTCAAACCTTTAAAAATACATTTTAAATTTGAATGTAGTATCAAGTATATCACAAGTGTCTTGTTAAAAAGATTATAGGACATAAATCGATTAGTGCTCCTCATGTAATCTTATTAAAATGAATATTTTTAAAGTTTGCCTATTGCTATCTTTAGCAATATACAATCTTCATAGGCTCCACAAGATGATAATTTTATTAAAACTCCCAACATATTGAAGATTGATTGTATTATATTCAAAAATTCATTAGTTCAGGTGTACTGCATGTATTTAATGTCATTCTTGGCGTCTTTTAAAAATTAAGTCTGATGCTAATATAGCTTCATCAAATTATGCAGTGTTAGCAATAGAAATAAGAGATGGGATTTTAAATTTTAATAAAATTCACAAGTTTAAGTTTTCGACACCCTTCCCACTAAATCAGTGTAATTTCCAGATTACTATCTTTCCCTGTAATAATTGTACTTCTTTCAATCTGCAAGATTGTTGGATTCTTGCCTTTTCTTACCCAAAAACTCTTTGCATTAACATGTGTTGATTCAGAAAAAAAAAATTAATCTAGATACAAGTTAAAAAATTAGTCTGGTTTCACTTTTCAGTAATCTTTATGACTACACTTTAGATATTATGATTTATATGCAATTGAATAAACATCATCTCAAACAGCCACACTACCTTAGTTGCCAAATTTCTCTGTTTTTACAACACAGATTAATTTTTGTCTAAAGTGCAGGTTTACTACACAGAGTAATACAACATTTCTAGTTTGGAAACTCTCACACAGCTGCAGTAGTGCAAAACAGTCAACATTTTTTTCTCTCATTAAATTAAAAACAATTTACTGCTTGCAATAAAAATTAAAAAGTACTTAAAAATGGTGTAGTATACATAAAATATGTCGAGTCATTAAATCAGGAAACCTTCAATTTTTTTTTCCATGTCAAAATCTTGTTTTTGTAAAATAAAGTTGATACTACTGTTCAAATTCCTGTTTTAATATGAGAAAAAAAGATTGCTCTCTCTCTCCCAGAAGCTGAAGTGATAACATTTGCAAGCTATGTTCAACTTCCTTGACACCAACTGTACCATAGTTAGGTTACAAGAAGGGAGTAAAGGCACACTACTCTACCTTGCCCATCCCACATCTGGTGCCGTCTGCCCAGGGCATGTGGAGAGTCTTACAGCCTTTAGATTTGGATTTGCTATCTGTACACCACAGTCTCTTACAGTCCAACTGTGACACAAAAATTATAGATATCAATATTCAAGTTTTATGTAGATTTTACTGATGAACTGATTAACTTTTAAATCTATATGAAATGCAAATTTTTAATGTCAAAATTTTTCGAATTTATCACATTCTGTTCAGGCATAGCTACATATGTAAAGATTACTTAAAAGTATTTTACAGATTTTTCTTAGGAAGGAAAATATTTTCTTCTTCTAATGATGTACCATATAATGCTAATAAAGAAGCAGATAAGTTTAAGGTTACCATATATGGACAGATCTTGAAGTTTGGTCCAAACATGAGGGCACACTGTTTGTCAATGCCATACAGTTCACCTGGTTCCCCTTTCTCAGATCGTTCTCTTCGTCTTCCAGGGCGATCCAATAAACATTCCGCTGAACCTGCACTGCATCATATACAACAAAACATGTCAAGGACATCATACAACAAAATCTCAAGGGCAACATACAACAAAGCATGTCAAGAACATCATACAACATGTCAAGGACATCATACAACAAAGCATGTCTATGAAATCATACAACATGTCAAGGACATCATGTAACAAAATATGTCAGGAACATCATACAACATAATGTCAAGGACATCATACAACATAATGTCAACGACATCATACAACATCAAGGACATCATACAACAAAGCATGTCAAGGACATCATGCATTATGTCAAGGACTTCAAACAACACAATTAAAAGGACATCAAACAACAAACAAGTCAAGGAAAAATACAATCAAACATGGCAAGGACATCGTACAACAAACATGTCAAAAGGGACATCATCCATTAAATATGTCAAGGACATCATCCAACAAACATGTCAAGGACATCATACAACAAAGCATGTTAAGGACATCATACAATCAACTATGTCAAGGACATCATACAACAAAACATGTCAAGGGCATCATACAACATGTCAAGGACATCAAATAAAAAAATTGTCAATGGCATCATACGATGAACAAGTCAAGGATATCATACAGTGGTGATGACATACAATGTGAAGGGCATCATACAAATCATGTCAAGGACATCATACAACAGAGCATGTCAAGGACATCAAACAACAAAAACATGTCAAAAGCACATACAATAAATTTTTGTCCAGGCTATCATTCAGAAAAGTTTCCATGGATATTATAGAAGAAGATTCATATCTTAATGAATTTGAGTTACTTTTTACCACCACGGCTATAATTTCCTCTTTTAACCGTTTGACAATACTTACTCAATGAAGCGTGTGATGAGGGAGGAGCTACAGTGAGACCAGGTCCAGGGACTTGTGTTGTGGTCCAGTGTGGGGGACATGATATGGTCCGAGTAAGGTCCCTTTAAATACTTCTTACATCGCTTGTCATCATCATGGGGCAGACTGAACCTGAAAAAAAGACAACAGGAGTGAAATTCCTGGACCTCTACATTATCATAAGGCTTGAAAGTCACAAAGCATGTGATTAATACTGGAGAACTTGTCTAAAACTATCCTGATTAATATCATAAAAAATGTATAAAATGCACTAAAATATTCAGTGATTAAAGAGTTTTTGTGACCTTGCTATTTGTAACAAGTCTGGGTGTCATTGTAAAGCATTTGCTTTCATTAATTAACATCTAATACAAAGAGCGAGAATGTGATTCTTTATAAACTGTGCACCTCCACAAAACAGGTCAAAAAAGTGGACAACATGCAAGATAGTGATAAAAAAACATATCTTACATCTTCAACTGAATTTCTGAATTTTAATTGTAATTTCATAGTTGGCAAATGCCTACCCCACAGAAGATTAGAAATACATATACAAGAAATACACTTGAGCTCGATCTAATAGAGTCTACAGTAAAGTTCTATAATTTGTTTTTAGCAGTGAGGAATGCATTACTTGGGACTTATATCTTGTCTATCAATCATATACCAGTGCCTGCATGTTTTCTTCCTGCACTTTTAAGCAGGTTAGCTGTACTTCATGCTGTGTCATTAATGCAGCTTCATCCTAACAATAGGGTCTGCTGATACCACACCAGTACAACAGTTCATCTTTGAAGTACACTCTTCTGATTTGTCAGTTTAGTAACCTTATGTCAATAATTTCAACAAAAAAAAGGTACAATGTCAGGGTCTCTTGGCTGCTAGCAACATGACATCAAACAATTATGAGGTGTAATAATAGTTCAAATCAGCTGATAGAATCTACTCATTAATCTGATAAGTAAGTGGCTTCACAGGTTGATGGGTTATATAAACATAAAACATTTATAAGAATGTCAAACATACAGTCAGGCAATAAGAGACTGTACTTCACTCCGAGAGGCACTCCGTTACCTTGGAGGCTTCAATCACACCTGGAAATCCTAATTGAAATTCTGGTAATTTAATTACGGAACAATACTATGATTCGTGATTCTGCAGTTTGTCTATATCTCCCCTTCACATGCAAATGTTGTATGGACAGTCTTCAGATACACAGAGGTAATTTATGAATAGGCACAATTTAACCTTCCTTCAAACCTCTCCATAACCTTTAACCATCTGAGATTTTAAAGTTTGATAAAAAATTTGTGCTTAATAAACATCTCAAACATGCAACTCATTTGGTTTCATGCATGCCTTTGTTCTTAAATTTACACATCTTTTTCTTTTGATTAAACAAAAGTAAAGGGAAAAAATACAAGAGGCCAATGGGCCACAACAATCACCAGAGTTACAATAATCCTGCTTTTCTTCTGATAACTTAAGGGTTTTTTCCCTACATTAATTCCTCAATGTTAGCTTATTATATTAGACTATGAATGACAAATATTCAAAAAAGCTCACATTAACTTTTGGTTCAGGTGAGCTAAAAATGACAAGTTCCCTTTTTCCCTCATAGAAAAACCCAAGACTTAACATTTATAATAGAATAAGCTTACATTCTTAAACGTTAAATAAAACCCACTATCTTCAGAGTGAAATATTCAATGAATTTTCTTCCCAAATTCTCCTTAGTCTCCACCACAGGATGAAATCATTATAATATTTCTATTTAAGATACATAAAAAGTCACAGACTTCTAAATTTATACCGTATCATGATAAACCTATGTATTCAGTAAGACCCATCACTTCATAAATTGCAGCAATTTTTGTCATTTCTATCAGTTCTTTAATGATAAGACGGGCTGATTACTTTACACTTTTAATTCACGTTTGACACAGTTATCCCCGTATAAACCCGCTACAGGAAGTCAATCTTGGAGCTCCCCCCAAGTACGTCTGCGAGTTTCTGCATTTTATCGCTATTATTTGTCACGGAAAATATCTGGATGCTGAGAATCTTCCTATAACATTTGCTGTGCACAGAATTTAAAACAGAATCAAACACTACTTATCAGCATTAATTGCTTTAAAATTAATTTGAAAAGAATTTTGAAACAGCATCCATAAATTCTCTGATAACAAAAACTTCCTAAAAGAAATTCTTTAAAAGCCATCCAGTGCTTCTACAAGAGCTGATCACTCAATTAATGTCCCCTAGCACCTCACTTAATCTTCCACCAAAACCATAAATTATGTATTACGTGTTAACTTATTAAAGGTAAAAATCAAGGAGGAGCAACCATTAAGAGAAAAGAAAAAAAAACCGCATAAAGTATAATGCTTATATACTGCTAAACACTAAGACACCAAACACCTTCCACCCTTATCAAACTGACCAATGACTAATACAATATCCAAAATTAGCAACAAGAAACAAAAATACTTAGTGTTTTGTATAATAACACCCAAATTTTCTTAAGGCAGACAATGATACAAATTGCCACAATAAGGCATGCAGTCACTGTATATATCAGCTTCTTCGATTTCACCCAGACGGAGAGAAGGTAATGATTTATTAATGCTGTGCTATCAAGACAAAAGGAGATTAACTTCTACTTCAATATTCTCTCAAGTTTGTCAAGAAGTTGATGAAATTTTCTGATGAAAGTAATTTAAAGAACAATTAAGAAATAAGTATGCATCTAGTTATTGTACTTGACAATGACTTGACCTCATATTCTCAAGATCTGTTATGATAACAGGGGTGTCCCTTTAACGTAATCTCGACAAACCACATGGTGGAAAAAAAGAAACTTTATAAGTCCCAGGACTCTCAACAGATGAAAGTTCAATGCATTAATATCAAGCTAGCCTGGCAGTGTCACCCACTGCGAAAGTCCACCTGTCTAACTGACCTAAAAACTGCCCCCCTCAAATTGGTTACATGTATAGGTTCAACTGCTGTTAAAATGGACAGGAAATGGAAAGAGCCAATGTAGGTCAAGAAATTCACACCTGTGTAACAAAATGACCTGTCACAGAGACTAGAGAAACAGCAGCCAAATCCCCCTCTCCTGACTAGCACACAAATCCCGCAGCAGACATTACCAATATTTTACCTGTGCACCGTCACGCCACAGCTCCGCGATTTGTAGGTCACCCACAAGTGCACAGTAGTAGTAGAAATAAACGTAAAGTGTCTTCTGATACAATGTCCAACCCTTCATTCATAATAATGCATTTTATCAATGAAGATTTTTGCTGCTTATCAATATGCTAAGTCAGCATTTACTTTGAACAAATCTTACTAGATATATATGATAAAGTCATAAGATAGCGAGCTCCCTCTGTATTAAGAGGAGGATATATTGATGGCCTAGCGGTATAAAATATTGTCATCTTAAATTAACTCTTTTATATTTATCTTTACACATCGTGTGTCTAAATCAATCTCAATAGGGACACAATTAGGACATCTAATTAATTGATAGAAAATAAAACATTTTTCACAGAAAATCTAATGAATGACTCTTTTGATCTCTTGTGTCTTAATATACTCCTGATTTATATTGTCATTCATTAACAAATCTTATAACAGTTTACCGGTATACTGTGTTCTTCCTTGTATGGGAATTCAAAATATGGAAATAGCTTTTTCAGGTTAAGCAATGAATGATTAGTGAAATTAATGGTGAAATCAGTTTTCACTAATTTATGGATCGTTAAATATTAGATCGAAAGACATAACTACATTGAAATATATTATAATTATTTAGATATTAATAATATATACATATATATAATAGAGACATTAATATGGTCCAATTAGTACAAAAGACAAAAATCTTGCATAATTTTGAAGAGCTTTCACCTTAGTTATTGTTTTAACATCAAACATCAGTTATAATTCTATTCTTTGATGCACACAAGATTCCATGATAAAGATTTTATAAGCTATGGAAGAAGCAAAATCAAAGCCTGTAAACTTGACAATGAATTCTAACTTACACGTGTCCTAGCTCATGTGCAATGGTGTAAGCAGCACTGATACCATTATCTTCAATGATGGAGCAACTTCTCCGGGGGTCACACATAGTCCCTAGTTCTGCAAGTCCTGTAAAATAACGCAAAATCTTCTGTTAAATATATTATAACAAGGACCATGCTAATAAAGCCAAATGGGTAATACACATCTACTAGAAGTATATTTCAATTAATATATAATCTTTTCTAGCTGAAATTTGCCAACTTTGGAATTTGAATTAAACTGGGTGACAAAATTAATGTCTTTTTTTTCCTACATAGGATCTTTATAGTACTCTCTTCATTCAGACCTACTGTACAGCTCTGTACTGAATGTTCCCAACTCTTAGAATTGTTCAGACTTAATATGTAACAAGATATCAAAATGACGGTCCAGTTAAAATTCCAGAAAAGACGTTCCTAACAATATGCAATGATGACATCATTTGTTCGGCATCTTTAATTTCCTCTCCAAGGTCTCCAAGAACAATACTGTTCACATCTTCCCCTGCAGGGAAATAATGTCTAAATGTGACAGTAGGGCTTCCTCTGGTGTAATTTGTCACCAAAGATTATACATGGGTATCACAACCGAACAAAAGATTCAATCCCCAAAAATTCAATTTCTTTTCTTTGAAAACCTTTTTTCTGACATTAAATTTTTAGTAAAAAATGATCAAATTATTGTGGACCTGAGTTCTGGGGGTTTTCTCCTTGATGACTGTGCTATGTGGTACAAAGACTACTGAAGTTGTGATACAATCATAACATCAGAATTTAAGTTCTCCTTCTTCATCTCTTACCTACAAGTACTCAATCTTATTTCTGGTATCAATAGTAACATAGGGATGTATTACTCATGATATTTCTGACCTTGACCTTTGATTGACCAATCTTCTATTTGAGGTCAAATTCACCTCCTCACAGACACCCAAGTCAGACATTCAGTCTCTGGTGATTACAATAATGGCCTTATTTAACATCTGAAATCCATGTCACAGTAGCTTTAGTTTCATCAAATAACATCATTACCCAGTCCCCACTTTTGGCTTCCAACAGTATATAATTTCTGAACCAACAAAAAATAAAAATGGAGCCCATTGAACACATTTTTCATCTGCAGCTGATTTAATTCCACAGATTCCTTTAAGGACATTACAGAAAATTACAGATTTCAATAACAGTTTAACCTTTGTTGTATGTTTGATCTATAAAAATCTACGGCAATTAGAGCAAAAGTTCACTTGAATTTTCATGCGATTTCTCTTTTTCTACTGTAACATGGGCAGTTGATAAGAAACCTTAAAATTAACAGGCCAGATCATAATTTTACCACCAAATCATAATTTCTCTTATGCTAATTTTCTCTTTGATTTAGTTATCATTCTATTCTGTTGTCATTTTGAAGTATGTACAGTCTTTTAAGTTCACATAACAAATGTGATTTTTTTCTCAGTAATCTGTTAATCTGCATTGATGTTGAACAAGTAAAAAAAAAATTAGGTGACAGAAAGTTTGACATCCCTCCAAATTGAATGTTGTGTCTGTATAAACTCAGACATTGGGTTAGTCTGGGTCCAGGTGCAGGTTTAATGATTATCCAGGATCCCAGACATCATAAATCCTGCGGACATAATTATCAGTAATTAATTAACAACCTTAGCTGGCCGGGTGTGAACTTAACTTGACCTAACATGATCAGGCTGTGAAATATGGACTTATAAACTCAATTTCCCCATCAATCATACTTATCTGAGCTCTTGTCTTTAGGGGAGGCTATAATATTTGTAATTAAACAGGACAAAGCATCTTGACCATGCAGACTGTCTTCAGTCTCATGGCTTCAATATTCATTTTTTTTTTTACAAAAAATATTATTGCTAATAAAGTCTCTAGATTTTTGTGTAATTACTATTACTAATATTTTTGCTCCTTTTATTTTAAAAATACTGTCATTTTTATGCCTTGTCAAAAAATCAAGAATGAACACTAAATAGTTACAAACAAACAAAAAACCAAGAAAATAATAAATGAAATGTCAAAAAAAAACAAATAAAGATGAGATCCAACCATGAATTAAGCCTTTTAATTTTCATCTAATTACAGTCCCCATGTCTAAATTTAGTGCCAGTCACAGGAAGTGACTAAATGCAACAGAATATTTCTGATTCCTACGACACTTTGTGTTGTTAGGTTACCAATGTCCTACAAATTCCATCTGACAATGTTTAAAGAATATTGAAGTCTTGACTTGTAAAAATTGATGGAGTTTTCATATAGTTGGGACAGCCTGCTCTGACAAGCAGCATATCTGAGAGACCTGAATTGACATTAAAAAGGATTTTAAGTACACGAGAACACGTCTTAAAACAACAGATTTTCTATTTTTAAATTCTGAACTTACCTAACGTATCACACTTGTATCGGGATCTGCAAATGTTCTGTCTGTAAAAGATAAAAAAAATAATTTCATTCTGATAAATTAATTTTTAATAAATGTAAACAAATTATCTGAAAAAATGTGATTTTTTTAAATTAGAGCATTTTGACAGGGCTCTGTCGGGAAATTGGGATTCAAAAGGTCAACAGTAGTTTTATTCTTCATAGTGAAATTCCCCACCATCTGACAGGTGCACAGAGATTCTATATCGTTACATAGGAATAAATCAAACTATTTTGAGTCAATTTGAACTTAGCACTGACAGTATTTTAACAAGTACATTTTGTACTATTCATTTGTCATTCTGTACTTTTAAAATATGGTAAACCTTAAGATATATTTCATGTAATGATAATTATCCACATTTTTCAAATAGACAAAGATAGGTTTTGAGGTGCATATTACAATTCAGAACTAAATAGTACTATACATATCAAGACGTTATTTTTTGACTTTTGTTTAAATTAACCATGTAGATAGGTACTTAGAATGACATCTAAACTATTCAATGCATGTCAGAAATATTGAAAAAGATTCAACATCCCAAATATAGATGGGAATTTAGAGCACAGCAAGCACTTGCAGTCTGGCTTAAATTCTGCTCCAAAAACTTTAAGCTGGCCATTCAAACAGAAATAAAACATTCAAAGCATGAATGGTAGTTACTGCATCCCTATATGCATCAGTGCTACTATATCATCCTAAAAAAGTTTTGTTAGCTGGGAAATATACCTCCTCCAAAAATCATAATCATTTAGCTGGCCTCTTGTTCAGATATTCAGTATTCAAAGCAAGCATAGTATACCATATGCAATCAAATCTCATTATCTCAAACTCAATGTGACCATGAAGAAAAAGAGATATTGGAATATTTGAGATATTGAGGGTTAAATACTGTAAAAGATAAGTGGTTGCAACTTTTTACTTTTGACATATTTATGCTATTTGAAATATCAGTGTTCCACATACCGAAGTTAAACTGTATATTTCATATAGAATCCTCCTTTTAGTTTGATTAAAGAACAGTTACAGTTATCTGAGATTTAAAAAATATTCCTTTTTTTTTAAACTTCAATCTGACCCATATAATTTGTAAAAGATCAGATAGAACATCAAGTTCAAGAATAGTAGAAATACATGTCCTTTATAAGAAATGTACCTGCTCTAAAAACCAAGACAGCAAACCATGAGCTCATCTTATCTTCATTTGGGTGAAATTAAAAAGTATACAAGTTTATCTATATTATACTTTCTACATTAACATGTAGAAAGCCATAATCATGCAAACAAAAATGTACATAAATCAGGCACACACAATATCAGGCTAGCATCATCAGATCTATACATGATGATGAATTTAATCCGTAGCTATACGTATAATGCCGTGTTTGATATATTGCCCCTGCAGTAGAGCAGACATGAAGAGGTGTTGAACCATTACTCCTAACACCCAGTCAAGTCACACATGGCACTATGCCACCCACATCTGATGGACACTCCCCCAAGCTTCAGCTAGTAGCCAACAAAAAATACATCTACATCGTAAAGTGATACATCGGAGTACGGCCCGAAATACGCTGGTCCTGTCTGGTTTTTTATATCACTTATCTGGTAAAAGTTTATCTAAGTTCAACTTTCCAAAGTATATAAGCTGAAGACCTCAGCATCTAAAGCATACAAAAAACCCAGAATTCAATAAAATTTTTATGCATATAGAAAAAAAAACGAAATCGTTTTACATCAGGATAAGCTCTTCAACCATGTACATGATGCAGAATATAATAATTTATGCTGAAGCTGTATTGGCAATTAAAGAAGGCTAGGACATTGGCCCTGTTTAACTCCTGAAAGAACACATTTAGGACCATAAAGATCTGCAATCATGTCTGAAGCCCTGGGATTAAACTCTCTGATTAATGTTTTCTTCACACCATCTTCTTTCAAATAAATCTCTTTGCTTAATTAACCCCCATCAGAACTAACACTATAATGAACTGAAAAACAACCAAGGGACTATATCTCTTAAAGAAGTTACTATTCTGAACTATTTATTAACATGCAATGTTGCAATGATGTCTCTATGTGTGGAACAGCTAGGTTTACTGAAAACGGCAAACTTTGCTTGCATGCATCTATAGACCTTTGTTATGTTCAAAAATTTAGAAACACGGTACCATTAAAAAGCATTTCACATCAATTACAAACTTGAACAGTGAATTAGTGAAGTCTTATGTTCTTGTTTGTTTGTTTGTCTTTCTTGCACCTCCCATTTACATCTAAAATTTGAAAACATTACCTTAACCCTTGTTTTTGCCAAAAGAAGAAGATAATTTGGGGACATTTTGTTTTCTTGTTTGTCATTCAGTCATGGTTACCTAAACCACAGATCCAGAGAGACCAGCATAACCCTGGACTAAGCACCTGCTACTATAACCAGAACAATGACCCCCCTAAAAATTCTAATGAATGAAAATATACCCATCCTCCTCATTCATCAGAGGCATCAGATTTAAGAGGCCAAGTGACAATTATTTCTGTAAACAAGAAACCTGTGGCATTGCCCAGGGCTGCTTACTCTTCACACGCAACTTGCTGACAAAATCTTTCAAAAAATGTACATGATATCTTTCTTTGAATGCTAAAAAAAAAATGTATAAATAACTTTTTTTAACTTGAATATTGACTGATGGACACATAATATCAATAATATAAGCTTCAGACTTCAAAAAAAAAAAGTCACAGGATTCCTTCTCTTTTGTACTGAAATTTTTTTAAAAATTTTTTTCTTTTTGGAATATTTTTGTATATTTTTTTTAATTCAACAAAATTCACATATTTGAACCCATTTCTTCCCTGAGATTGAGTAATCATGAAAGCATTTAAGTAATCTTGCTACTCATTCCTGTCACAATTCCTTTTTACAACAATCAGTTCCCAGGTGTTTATAAAGACATAGGAATTCTTCCTCCCTCCTGGAGCCAAAGTGAATGACCAGTAGAAGAGAGCTAAACAACTCTGCATCCATCACTCACCCAACACTCAAAGCGTGAAAATCAACAAGACTTTTATTTGTTTTTTGGTCTTGATGATGACATCATGATGTAAAATTTCCCAAAGCTCATTCTTATATTACTGAATGAAGTTGTGCCATTAATGAATTTGGTTTGTCCTTCAATGCACAAACCAAATATCTGGCCTGACGGTTATAGCACTTGCAAGTTTTAATACGTCAGAGAAAAAGGAAGAATTTTTTTGTTCTCCAGGAGACTGACCAATTGGATCATAACCTAATTTTCAGGGGGACTTGGAACAATATCTGTTGATGATGGGTTCCAGAGATGGCCATTGATATTTACATCTCATGCGGGCCTCTTTTCACACCAGCTTTCCACACAAAGATAACATTTTTTTTCCATTCTTGAGCCCAAACACCTTGTGCAACAGTACAAAGATGATCGTTGCTTTTTGTGCTATCAATATTCTTTTTATTATAAGGCTTTGGCAGTGATTATCTGTTTTCCTTTAAATTTTCAGCTCAATTTTTTAGGATGATGATGCTGTCTTTCCTAATATGTAAACAACTGTCAAAGTGTTATAATATATCAAATTTTCTCTATCAAGTACATGACTTATCTTCAAATTCATCCCCAGGTGGACCCATGCATTTCCTTTCCTGAGAGGAAAATTAGGTTTCTGTATGAGTTGTAAAAAACAATCAAAATACCCAAATCTCTCAAAGAATTGGGTAAGTGACCACAAAATTTTGAAAATTCAGTCAAAAGATCCTGCTGAATCAAGCAGCATATTTGTGGCATGCAAATATATGCTAATCCATCTTTTATTCCATTGGCAGCTCTTCATAAAGATTGGAAGATCTAAGGATTCAAAAATATACTTCTTCCGAAGCAACAAATCCCTAACCCAGAAACTGAATAAAACAGATATTCCCTAACACATCCAACTTTTAGACAATATAAGCACTCATTTATTCTTTCCCTGGAATATCTCTAACAAGTCATAAAAAGGACAACTGACCCAGCTACTAAAATATACGTCATTTTCAAGACTTAATATGTTCTTTAATGGAACACCCATTACCAGATAATGACCATACATCTTCAAACGATGCATACATTAAAAGGGATATGCTTTCAAATTATAATCCTTCCGTATTACCCTGTGATTAAGCGTTTACGCAGATGATGATTATCGTGTTAAGATGTTCCGCAGATTTGTATTTTTTTCACATTGTGGATTTATTCAGCAACAACTTAAGAGTCTGTTTATTGTAGAAACAGAGAAAGTTCACTGCCACCTCATATATTGGGGTACATCATTTTTGTAGCCTACTTAACAATAACAATTGCAAGACTTAAAATTGCCAACATTAACCTAAATTTACTAAAGCCTTTGCAATTTGCTGAAAGTGAAAAAAATCCACAAAATAAATGGTCCAAAAAAGATATTTTAATTCAGCAAATTATGAAGAAAAGGTTCATTTTCAACATACAACTTGGAACTTGCCACATTTTTAAACCTTGTATATGTTCACTGGAAATATAAAAATTGTGTCAGTAATTATGTTGAAAATTAATTTTTATTACATTGAGAAAAGTAAAATCTTATATTCTAGAAGACTAAGAAGTGCAGCTTCCTTTTCATATCTGTGTCTTAACTGTTGAGGGCATAATAATTTAATTTTGCCTGACAAATATAATAACACATATAAAATGGACAAACAGTTTTCACCCGACTTGGCCACTTTTGTTTAAAACCTTGTTCATAGAAGATCAGCAAAACTTGTGACCCTTTAGTGTTAAATGTCACTTGCTGGATGTGGTTTTATTATGTATGACCCAAACTGAACATAAATGTCAACAAATAATATATTCACCTTCATCATAATAGGCTTTATTGATGTTTAATTGTTTGAAGATCAAAAAGCTGTATTTTGAGATATTTAGGGTTCCCTTGTCAACTGACGGTGAATTGGATAGAGTCAAAGATAATATAATAGTTATGACTCATAAACATAATTAATTCTAAATGTATACAGTAACATAAGTATATAAGGACAGAATACCACCACTCTTGAACTTCTGCAGTCTGATGACTGCTGATAATATAACCCCAGACCATTTCAGCCCCCTAAATTCAGTTACCGGTAAGTGTAAAAGGAATCAGAGAATTACTAGCAATTTTCTTGAGGTTGTTTAGACACAAATAAAACCTGTATTGAATCATTAGCTGTCAATAGGAAATAAACTTGCAGCTATTATCTGCTCAATTACATGTGAGATGGTGAATCTAATCGAGCAATAAAATTAAAGTGTCTCTCCCCAAACCAAGTCAGAGTAACCTAAATCTCAAAGAAACACTTCTAGATTTTGGCTCTAGAGTCTAGCCTCAGTGAACACTCAACCCTTAGTCAAGGCAGTTGGCTTTTTGATAAAGTAATCAAGCATGTAACTCTAAGACAGCTAAACTGCTCTCCACAATGCAGACATCTGCACATTTTTTTTTCACTTCAAGAAATTCTTCTGCTCATGTCATTGTGTTCCCTTAATTATATGAGCTTTCAAACTTTCTGCATTCTTGCACATCATTTCCATTCAAACGATTAGCCCTGTAAAACTTCATCATGGGAGAATACATCTATTCACTGTTTTCTTCCTCTCTCTGTTCCAATTGAAGAGTGCACAATTTGTCACAAACTGTCAACTTGTCATCAAACTGTTCTTTATGTTCTGGGGATGAATGTATTTTGTGATTTGTAACTAGAGACAAGCAGAAGCAAGAAGCTATAAAGTGCAAAAAAGGAGAAGAATTATTTCATCTTATTTATTTCATGACTCTAAGACCAACAACATTCATATACATGTTCTGTTACGAGGGAAATGAATTTAGAGAGGGCCCAGGTCCTTTCATCAAAACTGGAAATTAATTTATAAAGAGTCTTAGTCCTCATTACATCACAATTTTATTGTACATGTACCTAAATTTTTAAACTGATCTTAAACTCTGATCAGACAATCTTTAATTAACCTAAATATTAATCTGTTCTCAAATCCGATTGGAGTTCAAAAAAATTAGAACAGAAAAATTTCTGAAGAAGAAGCTGTTCAGTGTTCTGTGATGTTTTATTTTTCAGATCTCCCTTTCTTCTGCCCTGCAGCAACAGTGCTTACTATCTCTGGCTCTATCTACACCCCTAACCACCTGTTGCTGGAGAAAACAAAGAGCCTATCCATGTCATAAAACCCTAACAGCAGCATTGTTTTAGAGGTTAATTTATGAAAACTGACTTCCTCCTCTGTTTGAACAGAACATCCTGTAGAGCATCTGACCATGTAGATCTGTTATAGATTGCTTATACAACCAATAAATTAAATATACATATACAAGAACAGGGACGGCAATCTAGCAGCCAGGCTTGTAAACTCTCTCACTGGAAAGAAACACCTACTTAAAACAACTACACAGGAAAATAACAATCATTGATGCAACTTGTTGTAAAGAATTTGAAACGAGTATCTTTCACTTAATTTCACTATTAAACTGTAAGACAGTATGAGTTTGCCAGTAAGGAGAAAAGGCTTATAAGGTTTAATGGAAGTGTACGAAATAATCTTATCCCCTTGTTATGCAAAGATTAGTGTTGAACTTGCATGGCACTTTATCACATTTTGTATTTTTTTCCAATTAACTGGTATCCAAATATACCTCTATATTTCTATAATGAAATTGAACCCTCTTACACCTTTCACATGATGAAATAAATGCACAACATATAGATTAATGAATTAAAAGTCAATTTCCAAATTCATCAGTCTGCCATTTTACAATGAGTGAAGGAGTGCAAGTTATTGGCCTAGATTTGATATATAGTGTTAACACATTATATTAATGTTCAGCAGTATCAGAAAGAGGCACTCATTTTCATCATCTCAGATGCACTTAAGAACTCTCTTTCAATGAGATACAATTCTTAAATGATGAGCAAAATGCACTTCAAGAGAAGAGAAGCTGCCCCAAATACATTTGACCTGCAATCCTAAACAATTACCAAAATTGGTATAAATTTAAAACTAAAGCATCTTATTTCTTATTATGAGTACAACTCATTTTCTGTAGAAACTATAGAGAAAAAAGATAATGGAATTTGTACCTTTTTTGTATACTCAAATGAACTTTCCAAGGGCAGAACATTTTTCTGTCTCCCCAAAAAACCAGTACAGATCATTTGGCAGAGAAAAACCTGTAATTGAGGAATCCAAAGGTGATTTTCAATAAAACACTTTCCGGAGGATTCAGCCCCCAGAAATCACCACAGGCCACCTGTCTGATGAAATGCTTCAGGGAAGAGGAATTTCAGGTTTATGACAAGAACCAATTCAAATCATTTCAACTGATTTTTCAAAAATTAAGAATTTGCTTTCTAAAAAGAAAACTGCTGAAATTCTGACTTCTGTGACAGGAGATTTTAAAGATGCTTTAATCCTTTGTGGATTTTGATGTAGAAATAAGCCAGTTATCCAAACTCCCGAGATTCAACCCCCCCCCCCCCAAATAAGCTGTATATGCTTTCTTTGATAAGTGTGTAGAAAACCAGCTCAAAGAAGTAGTGCTCTGATCCCATTCTACAGGGTAATTAAAAAAATACAGAAAGCCAAATCCCTGTAGATTCTTATCAGTCTGTTAAAGAGATTAACGTCTGCATTTTTCAACGGGGAATCTTAATTTGACATGGTTTGAAGTTCAGCAAGATAAACTCATTTGGACTGATGTATGAGGTTTCATTTCATAACGCCATTCTTCGCCATACTAATTTACGTTTTTTGTGGATTCTGTCCGCCACTGTTTTCACAACAAACGTCCATTTTTAAGTGAAGAAAGCCACAGGTGCATGTGGATGAAGCGCGGCTAATTACTATCCCTGTTGTAAAAACAAACAGGTGTAAAAGAGAATTTTAACATGAACTGTTAGAACAATTTTGTTTTCTGTTTAATAAAATCATTTATAAATCAACACTTCGCCAGAAAGCGGTCGTTGCAGTCCGATTAAATATTTTGATGAAGCTTTTAAAAACAATGCAAAGTTTGCTTAAATTATAGTCAGAAATTGTGAACGTTTCATTAACTATGATTTCATAATGAATCTTATTTTTCTATAATATATAGATGATTTTTTTTTCAATATCAAACGTTTTACAGCATACACATGTACTTGTCCTCATAACTGAATATTTTGTTTTAGCAAAATTGCATTGAAGCAAAGATAGAAATGTGTTTATATATACATGTACATGTGATGGATTATATAATGGAAAATTTTATCGCCAAATTCGTTATACCGCCATGCAAAACAGAACTGTATTTGCTTTCATAACGAGTTTTGATCTTACAAAAAACAAACAAAGTTTGCATCCTTTACTTTAAAGCTTGTCAATTTAATAGTATATATAGATGATTTTTCAGCACCTCTGCATTGCCCATGGATTATATTAAAAATTTTATCCTCTACTGCAAAACAGAAAGGAGTTTTGCAAAGTTTGCTCCTTTGCTAATAGATATATAAGCTACTATAAGGGTAAAATTTAGAATTGTACTTGAAGTTGCTTAAGAATAAAAAGCTAAATGTAATACTTTTACAGTATACATGTATCAGAACCTCAACCTGGGCTTCTCTGATCACACAGTGTCTGATGTCCATCCAGCTGTCTGTCCATCCATCTGTAAACTTTTTACATTTTCAAATTCTTCTCAAGAACCATGGGACAAACTTGCCAAAAAGCATCCTTGTGTGATAGAGATTCTAAATTGTCAAAATAAATGGCAAAGCCCCTTTTTTTAAGGGAAATTACCACAAAAATGCAAAATAAAGGGTAGTGTAGCTAAAAAATCTTCTTCTCAAAAACCACTGGGCCAGAAAATCATAAACTTGGAAGCATCTTGGGATAGTGTGAATGCTAATTTGATCAAATTATGACCCTGTCGGTAGGAAGGGCCAAAACAGGGAATCAACATTTTATATGGAAATATATAGGAAAAATCTTCTTCTTAAGAATCACTGGGCAAGAAAAGCTGAAACTTGTAAGAAAGCCTCCTGGATTGTGTAGATTCTGAATCATAAAATCATGGACTCCAGGGATAGGGCTGGGACACAAGAGGGAAAATCTGGTGAAGAACATCAGGGTCAAAGTTACTCAGGTGAGCGTTGTGGCCCCTGGGCCTCTTGTTTCCCCTACCTTGTAATAAGAACAGCTGTGTCGTAATGGTCCGGGTCACTGTCATCTGAGGGGTTGTTCACATATTGCCAGGTGCAGAAGTCTTTGAGGGAGGCAGCAGCATTTGAGGTTACTCGAGGCCCATCCTGAAAAAAAAATGTTAAACACATAAAATAATTTTCAACAGCTGTTTTCGAGCAGATAAACAAGATAAATAGTGCTAAAAATTTAAATTTTGATTGCTAAATGATAAGTAATTGTGATGTTGAAAGATGAATAGATATCCTTTTTTCCTGTTTAATTACCTTTGTACTAGATTCATATTTCAAAAATATCTTTTAATTGAATAACCTTGTACTTATTCGGTACTTATTCTGTTTGATCAAAAACCATGTAATTTTATACTTTTTTACTCAATAAATATTGTACTTCTGTAACCCAATTCAAAGTATATGTGTGGTCCATAAATTTTACATTCAAAATAGCTTTAATAAATTTGATTGATCAGATAATAAACTAAACACAAAAACGTCATTCTCAGTGACACAATTTTAGGATCAACTTCATTTAAACTGTCACTTTTTAATGGCAAATTGAACTCTTGAAACTGGGATATATATCATCAATGTCAATTTGTCTACATGAAAAATATGATATAACCCTGAAAAATTTTAATCAAGATCAAAATCTTAATTTGTGGTTACTGTGAACAGAATTTCAAAGACAGAAAATTACAGCCTCCATCATTTTCAGAAGGAGGAGCAAGAAATGCCTGCCATACCGTGGTTTCTGAGGAAGACAGATACTCACAATATTTGGCATACAATGTATGTTTACTCATATTTTGGATTAAACAAAAAGTAAGCAAACAAAATTGTTGTTTTTCATATGAGAGGGGGAAAGTCAGTGCATTAGCCAATTATCATTAAGTGAGGCATGTGTGTTCCACATTGAACAGGCACCACGATATAACAAAAGACCAGTCTGTCAAATGAGTGTAAAAAAATTTCTTGGATGAATAGCCTTGACTAATGCATGACCATGAATAAAAGTGGACATTGAGATTATAATCAAGAAAACATCTACATGTTTTAAATAAGACTATATCCTGAAGAACAATTTATGCAGTGAAAATTTAAAAAAAAAAATCCAAACAAAACTTAGGGGATTAGGGTTGGTTGCAACAATGCTTGTCCTAAAGGGGTGTGGAATCCCCATCAATTTGAATACCTGGGAATATAATGAGGTAGAACTTGTGCCTGGTACAACACAGTTCTGAATGAAAATATTAATCTTATTTTATGGGTCAAACTTAATCTGTATTCATTCTACTCAAGTTTTGCTCTGAAGTCCTAGAGCACAGACCATCAAGTGCAATGAAAGTTTCTTTAACAATATTGTTCTGGATTGCACAGAGCCAATATCATACAGTATGTATCGAGAAATCTGATGACACTGACATAGGCACTTCCTCTGATCTTGCATCAAATTTCATTTCACTGTTAAAAATTCTGCTGGGATATCTATAAATTTCTTCCTATGTTCATCTCATTATTTTTTTCATCAACCCTAAAGAAAAAATCATGATTGCAAGATTTTTCTCCTAAAACCCAAAGTCATCTTCAGAATTGGCTTTGCCTCTAATTTCGTATACCTGCAGAAAATGAAAACCAAATAAAACTGACTTAGGAAACTGAAAGTGTTGGGTCAACAATGAAAGGTGACAAAATATGGATGAACTCAAGTGGTTCCTCTTGACACGGGATAAAGAGGAGGTTAATCGAGTATTGATTCGAATCTCCAGATATAAATGGACCTCAAACACTCGGTATTAGGAAACTTAATAACGGACAAGAGCCTTTATCACCTCTAATGCCATAAAAATCTAAAGAATCTAATAACAAGCACTTAATATCCAGTTTAAACAAAAGAGTCTTAATTTAGTCTTAGATTGGATTCATACATAGGCCGACTGTCTTTTTATTAGTCTTGGGTGTTGTAAAGGACTTTTAGAGTTTGACGTTCTTGTATGGCATATGTTCACCTTAGCTTGACTTGTCTGCACCTTTCCTTCTGCCAATAAATCCTGGCTTAGGACAAAAGGAGAATTAGTTTTAATACTTTAACTCATACATTATACATTTTAAATTTCTTACCAAAATATTACTTTATGATAAAATAAATGTTCAAAGCCGCAAAAAGTGAAAATCTGATATTACTTTCTAACTTGAATTCAGAAAAAAATGAAAACAAAAACAAAAAAAGAACAAAGCATCTTGATCCTGTGGCGCATGTTTTCTGCAGTCGGACATTAACCTGAAGGTTCTATACACACGACCCTGATTTCTGACCTGTTTGTATCAACTCATTGAGAAAACAATACCAAGGGTTACAAGATTTCATCAGGAGATTCCTAATATTCCATCGGATTTTCACCCCAATAAATTACACCCCCCAAAATTTTATGTCTTTCATCTTTTATCCCATCCTTGCCTTTTCCCTTAGTAAACCTATGGAATGATTTGCATTGTCAGTGTTTATACTAGAGATAAGTGGGCTCCAATTTATTAATGCATCCAATATCAAACATTCTTATCACTCTCAAAAATCAGTGTGGACAAAATTCTTTTGTTTGGAGCCATTTTAATTGGTCTCCAATTTCAACCTCGAGCAAACTGAATATGAAATTCAATTCTTCAATAAGAAAATACACAGAGAAAGGTTTTTTACCTGTAAAACTGGAAAGGATGAATAAAAGATATAAAGGGCATTGTAGGATTATGAAATAAAATGAGCGTTACATCAAAACATTGTATTGACCCTGGACGTGATGCTATCTCTTTCTGGAGGGGGTAGGTACCATGTGCGGAGGTTACTACTCCAGTTGCATTAGCATGTTTAAGCACCATTTACAGCTTGTTTTGGCGTAATTATAGGGATCTTCTAAAGCCTCACACATCTATGTTTCATTTTTGCTTGAGAGGCATATATCACAGACATAGACCTTCATACCTGTACCCCTGGTTTGCTCTCAGCATGATTCATTTGTGTTTAGTCATCAACAGTGAGTTACAGTAGCAAATGTATAATTGTGATTGTTACAGTCATGAATAACAGCAAAATAAAACTTCTTGTTGTTCTCTGTGACATTATATGTTTAGTAATATTATACATGTAACCAAAGTTAGAATCTGAAAAACCCACGAAGATTCCCTTTGATTCTTGAAAAACAGTTAGCACGAGGCAATTAAGTAAGAGTTTTCTGATAAAACACGGATTCACACTTCTAGCAGCACATAAAACTATACAGCAGCCATCTAGTAATGAAGTGGAAGACAAATTGATACTGACTGAGGGGAATAAAACAAACAAAAACTTAGGTGTAATTGCAGATAACACATTACCCTCATCCATCTAAGCAGCATAACAGTAGCAAGTCATCTTCACACCTTAACAATTTGTATCCTTTTATTCACTTTAGAATAATTTAATCAAAAATGATGATTCTGTATCTTGTAAGAATTAAACTGCATGAAATTTTTGTACAGCAAAAGTACATTTGATTTTTTTTTTTTTAAATTTCAGGAAAGCCACCAACCTTGTTAAATTAACTTGAGTCTAGTATAACCTGTGATATGTCACAAAAGATTAAGTTACCAAGGAAACCTGATATTTTCTGCATCATTCAACAGGACCTTAAAAGACAAGATGCCTCACACCAGAGCTGTCAATCACAGCTAGAAATGACATCACCTCACAGGCCTACATGACAACGGTCACAAATTTTATACATACTCTTCACCCCTAAACAGAGAGAAGCTGATACCCTACACTGCTAAATAGGAGTAAAACACCACCACCTGATCCCACCTTGCAGGTAGAGACAGGTAAATAAAGCACACAAAGGTAACACTCTGGGGCTAATATCTCAGCATCAGCCTTCATCCTACCCTATCACTGACACCTGTTGAAAGTTTGTATAGACCGTTTTTTATAAGTTTGAGTAAGATGACAAATGAGGGCAACAGTCACGTCAATTCTGTCGTAAAATTCTCCAGATGCGCGGTTCTCACTTTCAGAAAGGGTTTACGATTTACAGGTTATACACTTCCCTTTCCACTTTCTGTAATGAACACACTGATCCCTGATCCAAGACGCAGGGTGGTAATATTTGAAAGAGAAATTTCAGGTGTTCCTCCAAAAATGCTTTGATTTGCAATGATCTAAAGACATTAATCCCCAAAGCCTTGTATTTCTGCAATCTGTGCAATAGAAGACTGTTCAAGTTGGTCTACCTCTGCAGACAGGTGTATCACACAAAAAAACCTCCCTAAAATCAATTGTACATAGGGATTAAAACAGGAACAATAAGATTACAACATATCCTTGGTTTTGCTATAACTATGTCAGTATTCCTTGTGATCGGAATGATTCATAATCTCAGGTGTCTTATTCAGTCTCTGATCTACTGCAAAGCGACTGCACGGATTGCATGATTTTACTGACACTGTTGATTAAGTTTCTTAACTTCAAGGTGTCTGTGAGACAAAATTAGCAAGAATTTATTCAGATTCCCTGGTGACAGACATATCATAATATGTCAAATACGACTTAACATGTATGACATGATTATTGGAGATTGCACACATGAGTTTTCTTATATCAGCAGGTGGTAAAGAGGTAAAACAATTCCTTTATTAGGTACTAAATTATTAAAATTATACAAATTCCTGAATGACATCAAAGGTAAATACATGTATATTACAGATGTAAAAATGGTCTTTGAAGCTTCAAAATGGAATTTTTGAGTCTGTCAGCAAATTTTTCCCCTAGCTAACAAAAAATATCAATTTCATCAAACAAAGTTCATTTAAAATGAAGGGTAGCAGTTTCATGCCCTTATATTTTTTTTTCCTCTTTGATATTGTGGACCTATATAATTCAGAGTATGGGTAGCATGTGACCTTTTGTGTATTATTCAATGCAATTAATGGGCAAACAAAAGATCAGTATTTCTATGGCTATTCAGATCAATAGGTCTCCATTCAGATCAATAGGTCCCCAAGGTCTTATATTCTCTATAAAGCCTGTTAAAAAATGGTTTTAATTGTCCTTCCTCGATTAACTTTAATTTCACACCTCATAACTTACCTGATCAGCAGCCAATTTAATTTATAAACGGCTCTTTTGTTCACAAAAAAAATATTTATTGTTCATTTACAAGCAAATTCTATTTTTGAGGTATTAATTTCAATAGATATTAACAACACTTAGGAGAATTTATTATTTTAATATATTACATCAAATTCTTGTTTCTATTTTAAACTTAATTAATATCTGCCTTTCTCTGTGTGAAATAATTTCTATATTTATAAATTTTATCTCTTATCAATCCATCTCAAATTTCCTTAAAAATATATTTATTTCAGTCAAGGCATTTAGCAAATAACAATAAATATTTATTATTTTTTTCATTTAATGGAACATTGTAAAGCAAGTATAATAGATTGCTTGATACATTAAGATTATCCCTGATATATTTACCGTATATATTATACCCATTGTGATCAAAGACTTTTGAGAAAACCCTCAACCAAAATAATTATACAGATCATTCTTTTTCTTTTCTGAAAAAAAAAACATAAAACTGCCCCAAACAAAAATAGACCAGTTGGCTTATTCTGGACACATGCAATTCATGAATAGACCATCCTGCTAATGCGGGGAAACATTTCCTTCGCTTTGGGGGGTGTTCTAAGGTCATTTCTTATTGAATGGAATGAGCAAAAAGGATTTGGATGTTCCAAAATAAAATACATTAGAAATACTTTAGTGGAAAAAAATTAATGTATATCGGTGTCATGCCACTGCTTTTTTACAAAATAACCACAAACTGTTTTGTATGTTTAAACCCAAATCCTTTCTAAACCTAAACCACTAAATAAATGACACCGAGATCACTGCGGTTTCTGTGACAGGGTGCGGATTACCGATACTAGGTTCGAGATTTTTCACACGCTGTGCAAGAATACATCACTTACTGCTTAAATAGCTAAGCATGTTCTTTTTGCTAAGCCTGACCTGAAGGAAAGGCTTAGACCCACTTATATCTACACAGAAGACAGTGGTCAACAGTTTAAAGTATATACCACCCAAACATTATATCTCACTTCTTCAGTAGTCCAACTGGAAGAGTGGCCAACAGTTTAAAGTATACCACCCAAACATTATATCACACTTCTTCAGTAGTCCAACTGGAAGAGTGGCCAACAGTTTAAAGTATACCATCCAAACATTATATCTCACTTCTTCAGTAGTCCAACTGGAAGAGTGGCCAACAGTTTAAAGTATACCACCCAAACATTATATCTCACTTCTTCAGTAGTCCAACTGGACAAGTGGCCAACAGTTTAAAGTATACCATCCAAACATTATATCTCACTTCTTCAGTAGTCCAACTGGAAGAGTGGCCAACGGTTTAAAGTATACCACCCAAACATTATATCTCACTTCACCAGTAGTCCAACTTTTCTATAAAGTCAAAAAGTTCCCAGAAGTTTAAGGTATACCACCCAAACATTAAATATCACCTCAACAGTGGTTCCACTTTACATTTCATAATCTGTACAGAGGACAAGTGATCAACAGTTTAAAGTATACCACTCAAACATAACTCACTTCAACAGTAGTACAACTTTTCTATAAAGAGGATAAGCACTCAAAAGTTTAAGGTATACCATACAAAAAATTATTACTCACTTCAACAATAGCCAACTTATCTGTATAGAGGACAAGTGGTCAACCATCCAAGGTCTCAGTTCAACAGTGGTCCAGCTTACAAATGGTAAACAGTTTAAGGTATACCTCACAAACATTTTAACTCTCTTCAACAGAGTAGTCCTATACAGACAACAAGTGGTCAACAGTTTAAGGTATACCACCTTAACATTATAACTGCAGTGCTTATACCTAAGAAGGGTGTGGGGAAAATGTGTAGATTTTTTTTTAATTTGTAAGTGGAAAAAAATTGGAAACGGAATGTAATAAAATTAATGCTTCCCAATCTAAGGAGACCATTTAAGGATCGAGAAATTCAAGAAAAAGCAATGGTTAAAATTGACATTACCAACGGCAAAACTAATATACAGTGGAGCCTCATTTATCCGGACGCTTTGGTTCCCAGTCAATTTGTCTGGATATGTGAAGCGTCCGGATACCTGAATCACCAGTTAAACAAGACAAAATTACATGTAAAAATTTCGTTCCTATGAAAAGTCATCCGGATACTGAAGCATCCGGACATCTGGGGTCCGGATATCTGAAGGTCCACTGTACTAGCCCCTAACCTGTACTTTTCTTCTGAAGACATTGAAAAAAAATATTTCGATGAGTTTTGAGTAGTGCAAATAGTTAAATACTCCTCCCAGCCACAAACCTGCCTCAACCTAATGACCTACTAAACTTCTGAATAGATTCTGATCAAAGCAAGATAATCAAGATGTATTTCGAGAAATAATCATCTTTACCCCCTCTTCCTATAACCTGATCTTAAACAGACAGTTTGTTTGGGTGGCAATATTTGCATAATCTGTAATGCCATAAAGCACCAAATCATAAGCACTACACCTTGGAATAAAACTGTAAATACAGTCCAACCTGGGTATCTTGAACATTGGTAGCTCAAACACCATGGTTATGTGAAAGTCATTTGGAAGTTCCAAGCATCTGGTCTTTTTAGTATTTTACCCTTGATATATTGAATTCTCAGATAGCTTGGTTTTAACTCTCTCATTATAAGTAAGACAATGAGGTTTGACTCTAGTGGATTTAGTTTGTGTACTTTAAGGTATACCTGACCACTGGTCTCACAGTACTTACTTGTTCTGATCTAAACACAGCTATTTTCACCACCACGATGTTGATGTAATTGCCAACTGATGAATCTCGGTATATGCCTGCAACCTGTAGAAGAAAGCATGGTAAATTAAGAATAACAACTAAGGCATACTATCTCATTAATATGTTATGTACGTGCTTTGATCCACCACATCTGAAAGCATGCAGACCCCTCTATGCTCTAAAAATTCTTCAGGACATGTAAAAATAATTTATTTCCCTTGGCTTTTGACCTTGAATTGTCAACTGAGATGCTATTCCTATGGTAATTCATCCAGACTTTGTCATGTCTATGCACCTGTCTGTCACCCCCAACACATCTTTGTGCATTCCAATCCACCCATATTTTGCCCTGTGCATGTTATTCATGTAGCAGAACATTAGACAAATTATCTTTTAATTATTGCTAACAGATTTTTCTTGCCTACATTTTTCATTCCATTGCATAATGAAGCTCTTTTATAATTAAAAGCTAGGTGTAATATTGATGAAAAATGTCAAGAGCAGTCACACATTTTAGGAGCAAGATCAAGCAAAAATATTTTTTAGGTCTGGATTTGGGAAAAGCATATGATCCCAAAGATATGCATGGGCATGAAATTCAGCACAACTTTGGCCCACAATTGGGGTGACCATGTCACTAGAAGCAATCTCTAAAGTGTGTCACACCCTCTTTTAAGTTTTTTGCACACTAACCCACCCATCTGGCCTAATGCTTTCTGGAATAGGTGACATATATATTAATTTCTCAGGGATGACAGAAGAATACTATATTGTTCCATTAATCAGTTTTCTGTGAGGTCCAAAAATTGGCAGTCTGATTATGATGGACTACAAGCTGCCAGGTGTGTTCTAGTCCCCTTCTGTACATTTCCTAGGGAGTTTTGCAACAATGCACTGCAGGATTGCTGTTAAGGAAACAGCTCTGCACTTCAGTGCATTTTTATAAGAAATAAACTGGTTCAGCATGAAGCGTTTAATTGCATCAAAACACTCAAGGCAATTTGCACCTCATAGTGTATCTAATGCAGCCAGAAAGGAGTTACTTTATTCGCATACATCCATCATTTCTTAACTACATCAACAATGCAATATTACATCAGTTTTATTCTCAATAAATTACAGTTCAAAAGCTCTGTTAATTGAAACTCTGGATCCTGATAATAAGTAGAAGATGTTTGATACACAGATGGAAGATTCTTCAGATTGTATCACTTACTATTGCCATCAAGGTCAAGATGTATCTTTCAAGGTCATTTCCATGGTACTGTAACATTTTATTGTCGGCAGCAACCATAACTTCCACATTGCGTTTATATGAAGTTGAACGCTTCTGGAGATGATGACGAAAAGGCGATGATTTTAATGATGACTGGGATGATGACGATTTTGATGAATCATTTACAGATGAATTATTTACAAGAGTATTTGCACTTTCGGAATTAAATGAAGAATTCTCATCTACTGTATTTTTAAGCCTAACTTCATCTTCCACTTTCCTTCTAGTGTGCTTATAATTTTCTGAAAAATAAAAGAAAAAAGTACAATTTTATACTTTAATATCTTGTTCTTGTCTGCAATAATATTTTCTGATATTAATGAGAGTCTAATTTTTGAGAGCAAGAAAGAAATGCAGATGGTTGAAATAGTACTGAAGTTCCACATCGTTTTTTGAGCTTTAATCACACACTGCACCCTTTCATACAATGAGTATAAAATGTCAACTGAGGCAGAAAACGCTCTTTAAATACAAATTTAAAAGAATGTAATACAAACATATTTATATATTAGACTTCAATGACTCATTGACAGAAAATAAGTGGGTCAATAATAAAGAGGTCAAATATTCTATATATCCTTTCACTTCTTTTCTTGTGATAAATTGGCCAACCAAGGAACACAGGGCAATTCAAAACAGAGAAATCTTCATTGAAACTTGCCAGGTGTTGGTTTGCTTGTAATGGTTGTTGGAGACAAGCTATGATATATTGTTTTCTTCTGTGAAATACCAAAAAAAAGAATAAATAAATTTTGAAAGCTGATACCTATTTCGTCTTCCCTAGTACAATGAGTGCTCAGTGGCAGATTCTGGATGGATGGTTATTTGTTATTATATATTTTGTTTTAAAAGACAAAAAAAGGGGGCATGAATCAAAAACGCAACACATATATTGTCATTTCTTGAGGACAGGTGATACAAACAAATATTGGATACCAGGATTGGTATATATATTTTTTGACCTATTTTGGTAGTAAATGATGTAAATATCAAATTTCTAAAAATATTTAAGAAATTGTTAACTTTCCATAACATCTTTTTTGCTATTTTCATGATTTTTTTAACTAATAAAGTTTCGTGTATATTGTCTGTTTTTAAAACTAATTTTAGAAAATCACCCTGAATTTTATTCCATAAAAGTCAACTACGGATAACATCAATTTGACTTTGCAAATGCATGTGCAAGTTGGTGGCAAATTGAATGAGTAAAATCTTGACCAAAACCAAGTTTTCATTTTTCTCCAAATTCCATCCCCATTCACCATAATAAATCATCTGCCTATACCAGGGCAGTTGTTGGGCACTTCAAACGATTTAATTTTCAGTCCACAATCTTGGTATCACCTTTTACCATCCAATATTTAAACTCTGTTCTTAAAGGAGGCCTTTGATTAATGGATAAAATTTTATTTCATAAAAAATAAAATCTCAGATATTTTATTATTATCTGCAACAATCAAGGCATTTTTGTTGATAAGGGGTAAATAGCTCATATTACAAAGGAAATGTGAAACTGTCACCTACGTCCAAACAAGAATGAATAAACATTTTCTAAACATGCCTCCTCCAACTTCTTTTCTACAGGCGCGTTTGAGCTTACAAGCAATTTAGCACCTTACTATCTGGCCTTTATCTTGAGAATGTAGTTCTTCTGTCAGAGGTCTGTCTGCCAATGCATTAAAGCAATGAGATATTGTTTCCTGGTGATTTGAACAACTTGATGCATCAAAATGTAATTGGATTGGAAGAGGAATATATAGATATCCCTAGAGTAAATGGCAGTTGAGTTCACAAGTATACCAAAGCCAATACAGCTAGCATTTGAAACACCTTAAACTACAGTACTGTAAATGTATTATATTTAGCGTGTACGATATTTGGCGGAAATTGATTTTTGAACATGTTAGCGTAGATTTGATTTAGCACATTTCTCAATGTTCTTATTTATGTATACATGTGCAAGATATTTAGCGTTGTACTTGAATTAGCGGAAGTTCCTTTCCGCCAAAAGCGCTAAAAAGAATACACAGCCAAATGTAATACGTTTACAGTATTATGTGTGTATTCAACAAGTCATTACCTTTTACCAAGTCATGAGTTTATAATAACTTAGCATATTAATTGCAAAGTAAATTGATAATATTTCAAAGTAGCTGGACCAATGCGTATTAGGAAAATAAGACAATACCTAAACAAACCTAGCTGTTTTAAAACTGTCAAACCTTAATGTCTTTCTTTTGAAAATTATTTAAATTTCTCCCAAAATGAACAATCCATACAATCATCCTGACTCAGTGGATCAGACTAGGAGTGCATGTGCAACATCAATGTTTTTTTTCCGATCAATGAAAAGTAACATTGTGTGGCATTCAATGACATACTTTTGTTTCTTACAGAATTAGCAGATTGTAAAAGTGCAATGTTGCATGTGAGCAGCATTTGGCCTGCATGGGAAATGGGCACACCTCCCTCATATCCTCAAGACTGCAGCGGAATCTTTTGATCTGGTTTTATAGTTGCAACTAAACCCTTCCGATTTAGTTGTAGTGTCAATTGAGGCTTGATAAGGGAGATGCAATTGTTTTATGTTTTATCAGTTAGGTTCCTAAGGGTCAATTACAGCAGATTGTGAAGATAACAGTTTAGTGTCTAGGATGGTGATAAGAGTGCCTATTAAAGTCTCATTTTGTCTGAAGTAGCATGCTTTTAATTGTATGCTCCCTGCTTATATCAACAAACATGGGATAAAAGTTTTATCACTCACTGGATCAATTTTATAACATTTACTCTAACTGATAATATCACTTCATTTTTTTTTTCTCAGATAACTTTGTGAGTATGAGAAAAAAGAGCAATTGGATACTGGAACACTATATTATTTAAGGAAAATGACACAATAAGACAAATTTTCAATATTGTATCAAATAAATACATTTTAAGTGAATTAAAATGAACCAGGTTGATCAAAATAAGGTCTAATTATCCACCATAGTCAGAGATTTGTAGGGCTTGACCTTTTCTTCTGGGTATCATTTCATAGTCCATGTCATGGTGATTTGTTTGACATGACAAAACTGATCAATTATACATGTGCACTTTTTGAATAAGCATAGAACACAGGTGCAACAACTGTAACATACAAGAGAACCTGTCAAAAAATGTCCAGCAAGATTTCTCCTTCGACCTCAACTTTTCTTTTGGCCTCAATATCAACACCTAACTCCATGTACAATACTTGTTGACCTCCAGGCTATTGGGATCAGGTTACAATTGTTCCCTATTGCTTTTTACTGAGGGATTTTCACTCCCCTCCCTTAATGTGGTGTATCTAAGATAACCCCACTCTAAAAACATCCAAAATCCAGAGGGAAGTCCTTTGTTTTGCAAAAATATTATAAATTCTTAAATTCAAGAACCTTGAATTCAAATTATAAAATTTTTATATGTAAAATTTCAAAATCTGCTGGGACCGAATACTTAACCAATTGTACCAATCAAAATGTTTGATGGAGAAAAAAATTGTCAATGAACATACTTAATTAAATTTGCCTCCACAAGGTACCTTCCATTTGTGATAATGTATTGCATATTTCTAAATCTTTTTGAATTTAAGCCCCAAAAATTAACTTAAAAATCATATTAAACTTAAATTATCTATTGATCATATGAAATGATCAAAGCAAATTTCAGCAAGAGACAATTGTGAAGCATTTTATTGTTTCATGCATGGTTGTATGAATATACACACATTACTACTGCATTTTCACCAAATTCAAGTCAAGAGAATAATAATAAGCCAAGCATCCTAGCTTACACTCAATGTAATAAAATTCAATTAATAACCTAACATCTCTTACCAAATCCAACACAAGAATATAATTTTTCATGGTTAGCCATGATTATTAAAAGATCTTTTTCTAAGAGGAGAAATTTAAAGACTCCAACTGGCTACAATCAGCTGTTAGTATGTATGCTGGCCATCAGCCAAACCACAAACCGATAAACCTTTACAATATTCTACTACATCGCAGTTTTGCTTATTCAACACAAACAAATGTGAGGAAACTCTTGATCAGCAAAAAACACATACCCTGTGCTCAGTATAGGCCACTTCCTCATTTCCATATGATCTAAATTTGAATTTTAAAAATCTTATTCTATAAAATTTCTATAATCTTGTACTTTTATATTAAAGAATTTTTACCAAAGTGGAAATCAAATGGACTTTATCAAATCATCCACAAAATGTGACTTTTGGATATTTCAAAACTAATAATCTATAAATAAAAAAAAAAAACTATAATGTAACTCTGCATATATGACATTAATAAAGCCTCCAACTTAGACTACAGCTGGGCAGCAAAATGAATGCACTCAGACCAAGACCCCCAAATAAATCCCTGACATCATCAGAGATTATCCTGATCAGTGACAAGACCTGTGACAACAGTAAAGAGATTAGAGATTATCATCTGGGTGTCTGACAGATTCCAAGAGGACTCTATCAATATCTGAGTACTCCACCGCAAAGTCACCAAGACACAAGATCTTATCTCCACAGTACCACACAATACACCTGAACACCAGCTCTACAACCATATGACTTTTTGAAGGAAAATATCAAAATAATCCATTTACATTAACCACAAATCTTTTAATTTTTTTAATCTTCAATAATCGGATCCTATTGTTTAAATTGAAAATATAAGAAGCTGCTCTCTTAAATACTTTTGCATGTTGGTTATGACATCATTCTTTTATACAGAATAGGGGTCACTAGTTCTGCCAGATGAGACAGAACAATTACCCAATCTGATTAACCAAAAACAATGACCCTCAGACATGACACCTCTTGGCATCAGACATTGTGACCTCCCCTACAACTTCACCCCTTCCAAGAGCTTCTTATTTTTCTTCTAGGGCGGCTCCACACCCTCCATTGTTTCCAATTAACCACTGGCATTGTGATGGTGAGAGCTAGTGACTTTAAAACAAAAGTGCCATGGTTCAGACCTGCTTGCATTTATTCCAATAATGTCAAGAAGTTCACAAGCCTACAAACATCCTCTGTACATAAAACTAAAATACTTTTACAAAAACATGCAAGTAATTATCTATACAAAACAATAACCTGGGAAAAAAATGACGACCCACCCCACTTATCTCATGTTTTTATGGCTTTTTTATCTGTGTGTCATTCACTCCATGTATAAAGTTCAAAAGTGTCATTCTATTTAGGCTT